CAGTTCGTATGCAACCAGAATGAGAATATCAAATTCAAAGACAAACTTAGCCAGTTTAACACAAACCGAGTCAAAACAAAACGAAATGTGTAAAACAACCAAAAAATCCAAAATAAACTAAAGAAAACTAAACAATAAGAACATTGTTCATAAATCACAAGAAACAGTGGGGTAGGTGTGTTTGGCAAAGGCTAGGAAATGGTAGTAGCTTCATGGTAAGGGAACATCCTTGATCGCATCAAGAATGGTCTTGTAACAACTTTGCTTCACCTTAGCTTTGAATTCCTGAGTCGAGGAGTCCATATGAGCGTTTACTTTATCTTCCAGAGAAAGCATCTGAGTTTGCAGCCCCTCAACTTTAGCATCCAGGTTATCCACTTTAGAAGAAAGGTTATTTATACTCTGTGTAAGTGTAGTGGACAAAAGTTGAAGTTCCTCCTGGATTTGCAAGGAACTTGGACCAGAGCTAAAAGCACTGAAGCCGAAACCAGAAGTACGAGGCTGTGAAGCAGGTGGAGAAGGTGTGGTTTGGTGAACAGAGGAAGGAATAGGGGGTGGTGATGGAGTTCCTTCATAAACAAGGGAAGACGGACCCTGAGGAACTTGGGTGGAAGTTCCTTCAGAAACTTTAGATGTATCATCATCCAATTCAACAATAATAACAGGCTGAGATCTCAGTGTTCTGGGTTTAGAAGAAGCAAGTCTAACGCTTCTCCTTTTTCTACCTGTTACAGGGACAGTTTGTTTAACAGAGCCTCCAATTTCCTTGAGTAGCTCTTTCACTAACTCCTCTTTGTCATCTTTTTCCTCCTTCTCACTCTCTATTTCTTTCTCTTCTTCTGTTTCCCTCTCTACTGCACTTTTTCTCTCTTTTTCACTCTCTTTTTCCTCTTCTTTTTCACTCTCTGTTTCCTCTTCTTTTTCATCATTTTTCTCACTGTCTTTCTCTTTCTTTTCTTTTTCTTTCTCACTGTTTTCTTCCTCTTTTACTTCTTCCTTCTCACTGTCTTCCTCTTTTACTTCTTCCTTCTCACTGTCTTCCTCCTCATCAATGCTTTCCCTCTCATTCAGTTCCCCCTCACGTTGATCTCCCTCTTCCTCAGATTCCGAGTGTACATCGGTAATAAAACAAACTTTTCCATGAACAACTTTAAGGCTTAATTTTGAGAGGGATTTTTCATGGAGTATGTTTTCTAGTTTCAAGGGGTGGGTTTCTTCATTGGTTAGAGGAACTTTGAAGGTTGGAAGTGGCGGTTGGTGTTTTGGGGTTTTTTGAGGTGAGTGGGTGCGTGTGGTAAGTGAGGTGACAAGATAGGTGACGGTTGAGAGTTTAGTGGGATAGAGAAAAGGTTGTGATTTATTTTGACAATGATAAAAATTAAAAAAAAAATAAGATAAAATCTAATTGAGAAAAAAAAAATCTTTTTGTTGTTTTTAAATTTATAAGATAACAAAAATAATAAAAAGATAAAAATAAAAATTGAAAAATAAAGAAAAATAAAAATTACGAAAGAAAAAAAATTCCAGTATGTTACTTCAAAGTAAAATACTGGTTGACATGTACAGAGCTTTACAAAAAGGAACTTGGAAAATAATATGGCTTAATTTGTCTTCTGCATCAACATAATCATATGATCACATACTCATTAGAATTACACACTCTTTCATTGCAAGATTCGAGATTATGTTTTTCACACCAAGGTTATATATAGCAATGCTCAGTCGTTTCACTAAGACATACCTTGGGGTTCCAAGAAGAACTGCTCAATTCAGCCTTATCATTCCGAGTTCCAATCGCATCTTTTCGAATTTTTCTCTACTCAAAGGCTTTGTTAGAATGTCAGCAATTTAATATTCAGTTTGTACAAATTCTAATTTAATAGAGCCTTTTTCCACATTGTCTTTTAGAAAATGATGCCTAACATGAATATGCTTTACACGTGAATGATGTACTGGATCTTTTGATATGCAAATAGCACTTGTATTATCACAGTATATTGGAACACATTCAAGAACTATGCCAAAATCACGTAATTGTTGTTTTATCCACAACAGTTGTGAGCAACATGCAGCGGCTGCTACGTATTCTGCCTCTGCTGTGGATAGAGCAACTGTATTCTGTTTCTTGGAACTCCAAGAAACTAAACATGAACCTAGGAATTGGACCATACCTGATGTACTTTTTCTATTCACCAAATCCCCATCATAGTCGGCATCGGCAAACCCAGTAAGATCATATGTGTCACTTCTTGGGTAGAATAAACTCAAGTCGTCAGTTCCTTTGAGATATCTCAGTATTCTCTTGACGGCTGTTAGATGCGATTCTTTGGGGTTTGATTGGAACCTAGCACACAGACCAACACTAAAAGAAATGTCAGGTCTACTTGCAGTTAAGTATAGTAAGGAACCAATCATACCTCTGTACTTTTTCTGGTCCACACAAGTTCCTGAGGGATCTTCGTCTAATCTAGAGTTAGTTCCCATAGGAGTGTGGTTAGTCTTTGTGCTGTCAAGGTTATACTTTTTCAGGAGTTCCTTGACATATTTTTGCTGATGTATAAATATTCCTGATTCTGTTTGTTTGATCTGCAGTCCTAAAAAGAAATTGAGTTCCCCCATCATGCTCATTTGGAACTCACTGCACATCAAGTCAGCAAAGTACTTGCACAAAGATTCGTTAGTTGCACAAAATATAATATCATCAACATAGATCTGTACAACTAAGAGATGAGTTCCTTTAGATTTTAAAAACAAAGTTTTATCAATTTTTCCTCGTTTAAAATCATTTTCCAAAAGGAACTTAGACAATCTTTCATACCATGCTCTTGGAGCCTGTTTTAGCCCGTAGAGAGCCTTATCAAGTTTAAAAACATGGTTTGGAAAGTTTGGATTCTCGAATCCAGGGGGTTGATCGACGTAAACTGTTTCTTTTAATAAACCATTCAAAAATGCACACTTTACGTCCATCTGATACAGTTTAAAACCCATAAAAGCAGCAAAAGATATTAAATTTCTAATAGCCTCAAGTCTAGAAACAGGAGCAAATGTTTCCTCAAAATCAATGCCTTCCTGTTGGTTATATCCCTTTACAACCAACCTAGCCTTATTTCTTACAATTGTACCATATTCATCAAGTTTGTTTCGAAAGACCCATTTTAAACCTATGACCTTTTTATCTAGTGGCTTAGGTTCAAGATGTCATACCTGATTTCTTTCGAATTCATTAAGTTCCTCTTGCATGGCTATAATCCAGTCAGGGTCTTCTAAGGGTTCTTTATGGTTGCGAGGTTCCAAGGTAAATAGAAAAGCATTGAAGGCACAGAAGTTCCTCATTTGCGATCTAGTCTGAGTTCCTTTGCAAAAGTCACTGATAATTTTGTCCAGTGCGTGTGACTTTTGGTGCTTCCAAGGTTTGGCTGGAAGGTTTGGATAGTAACTCGACTATTCTGATTTTCTGAGCCAGTTGCTTCTTCTTCAGTGATTTCCTCTTGTGTTATTGGTTCCTCGGCGGGTTCTTCAATCTGAGGCTGTTCTGTCGAAGGAACTTCAGTCAGTATGTCGAGTTCCTTCTCCGGATTTTCATGATTTTCATTTACTGGAGTTGGCTGCTTATTTGGAATTACTGCATCTTCTTCTTGTTCTTGAGAACGTACTAGACCAATTTCAAAGTCATAGTCCTCATGTTCCTGTGTACATGGAAATGGATTAGTTTCATCAAATATAACATGCACACTTTCCTCAACACACATAGTACGTTTATTGTAAACTCTATACGTTTTACTGTTAGTAGCATATCCAAGAAATACAGCTTCATCACTCCTTTCATCGAATTTCCCTATGTTTCTTTTACCATTATTATGTACAAAACATTTACAACCAAATGCTCTCAGATGAGATATATTCGGTTTTCTGCCTTTCATAAGTTCATAGGGTGTCTTATTTAAAATAGGTCTTAGCATGACACGATTGATTATATAACAGGCTATATTTACGGCTTCTGCCCAGAAGTTCCTTGGAAGATCGCTGGCTATTAACATAGTTCGAGCCATGTCTTCTAAGGTCCTGTTCTTCCTTTCTACAACTCCATTTTGCTGTGGAGTTCTTGGAGCTGAGAAATTATGACTTAAGCCTTGTTCCCTGCATAAATCATCAAATTTATAATTTTCAAACTCAGTGCCATGATCGGATCTAAGATGTATCAGTTGATGACCTGTGGACTTTTGAATTCTCCTGGAAAATGTAACAAACTCGTCAAAAGTCTCATCCTTACTAGACATAAAAATAACCCATGTGAATCTAGAATAATCATCAACAATTACTAAGACATATTTCTTTCCACTTCTACTTTGAATTCTCATAGGACCACATAAATCCATATGAATTAACTCTAAAGGTTTTGTGGAACTCACCATCTTCTTGGATTTACAAAATTTCCTGACCTGCTTTCCTTTCACACAAGCATCACAAATTTTGTCACATAGGAACTTGATTGAAGGAAGTCCCTCTACCAAGTTCCTTGTTCTTATCTTATCAATCAAAGAGAAACTTGCATGACCAAAACGTTTATACCACAGTAAAGGATCATCCTCAATAATACTGAGGCAAGTTAAGTTATTCCTCGGAACTGTATTGAGATCCACTGTATAAGTGTTTCCTTTCCGAGTTCCTTCCAGCAAAACTTTCCCAGTGTCATTCTGAATGATGCTACAGTTTTCATAATCAAAACTTACAGAGTTTCCTTTATCACAAAATTGTGATATGCTTAATAAGCTGTGTTTGAGGCCCTCGACTAAAAAAACGTTATCAATAGCTTGGGAACTTGACCTTCCAACTTTTCCTATGGCAACAATGCTGCCTTTCTTATTATCACCAAAGGTCACAGTTCCTCCTGTATAGGCCGTTAGTGAGAGAAATCTTGATTCATCTCCTGTCATGTGCTTGGAACAACCACTATCGAGGTACCATTGGTTGTTCCCCCTCACTACGACTTGCAAAAGAAACTAAGGGTTAGATTCAGGAACCCCGTCTTTCATGGGTTCCTTCGTTGATACAGCAGACTCATTTTTCTTTTGCCATGCATAAGCTATATTTTTAGTGGACTTAAGTTCCTTTCTTTTGCATTCAGTATCTTTGTGTCCTGACTTGCCACAGAAGGAACACACAGTCTCACTAGGGAGTTCCACGTACTTTTTCTTTTTACCACTATTCTTCTTTTTGTGGTTGAAACCCAAACCCTCTGTCCTTCTGGTTTGAGCTTCGGATATCCACTTTGGAACTCCCATGTGGATTGCACTTTTGTTGTTTCTAGCTCTTTCTAAATCCTTTTCAAGGGATTCATTTTTGTGTTTAGTAACCTGCAATTCTTTTTTCAAATTTTCAAGATCATCATTAAAGGTTACTAAAGGCAATTGAAGAGCACTATTAGAATCAATGTTAGTGCATAACAATTTATACTGAGTCAATTCAACATTTAACATGATATTTTCATTTTTTACTCTTTCTAGTGTTTCTTTAAGCATAGTGTTTCTATCTAGCAAATCAAAGAATCTTCCCTGAACATCTGTTCTTGAACTATTCAAATATTTCATATGATCCTTATAGATTTCTAGAGCTTTTTCATTTTGTCCAAGTTTAAGACATATTTCTTTATATTCATCCAATGTTTCTATGAGCAAAGAAATTAATTTGTCTTTTGACAGGGATTTCAGAAATTTAGGTTCCAGATTTACCTCCTCTGACTTTTTAGCAGACTCACTGTGTTTAGCCATCAAACATAGGTTTGCCGTCTCTTCTTCCGTGGATTCTTCTTCATCCTCGGAACTTGTGTCTCCCCACGCAGCTATCATGGCTTTCCTGTAATCAGATTTTGAAAAGTTAGGAGTATAAGATTTTCCGTGTTCCTTCATTTTGCCTTTTCCTTTTTCTGATTCCCAGAGAGGGAATTCCTTGATGAAGTGGTCTGTGTTCCCACATTTGTGGCATCCTCCTGTTTCCTTGGAATATTGGTTCTTCTTGAAGTTCCTTTTCTTTTGGTCACCAAACCTTTTGTTGCGGTACAACCTTTTTAGCTTCTTGACTAGCATAGCAGCTTCTTCCTCTCCAGATTCGAAATCCTCTTCACTTGGTTGGGCAACTTTTAAAGCAATTCCTCGGCTCTTTGAGCTTTCTTGACTTTTGTTTGATAGGTGAAGCTCATGAGTTATCAAGGAACCTGCAAGTTGTTCAAGGTTAAAAGTTGTAAAGTCCTTTGATTCCTACAAAGCTGCCACTTTGGATCTCCACTGTTCATCTTCAGGAAGACTCCTTAGAATTTTGCGTACCTGTTCATCCATAGGAACAACTCTACCAAGAGAAACTAATTCATTAGTAATATTTTTAAAACGAGTAAACATTTCTTGAATAGTTTCTTTTGAACCCATTTCAAAACGTTCATATTTAGAAAGCAGTATATCAATTTTAGAACGTTTGAATTCATGAGTTCCTTCGTGGGTTATTTCTAGTAAATCCCATATTTCTTTTGTTGTTTTACATCCCATAACACGAGTGTGTTCATCTGGTCCTAAACCCCAAACTAGGAGTTTTTTAGCAGTAGCATTAATCTCTTTCTTCTCAAAGTCGCTTCTATCATATTCAGAGATAGGTTTAGGAATTACCTCATTTTCTGCATTTGTCTTTGTTACCTCATAATCTCCTACTTCGATAGCTCGCCAGACTTGATAATTCTCGGATTGTATGAACATCTCCATCCTCGTCTTCCAATAGGCGTAGTACTTCCCATTGAAGAGTGGAGGTCTTTGTGTAGAATAACCTTCAGCTAGTCTCTCGTCCTTAGACATTGTTCCTCCAGGAACTTGACTCGACAGGTCTTCCTGCTTTTCCGAGTTCCTTGCTCTGATACCAATTGATAGAACAATGTATCCTACAAGAGGGGGGGGGTGAATTGTAGTCTATGTAAAATTTTGCGAAATTAAAACTTCTAGACAATCAAGATAGGCAATGAATAAATTCACTATGTAAAAATGATTTACATTCACTAATACACTGCCTAGACTCAAGTTCCGTGAGGAACTCAAGTTTCCCAAACTACGATCCCTCAATCGTAGTTCCTCTCTTTTTGTGATTCTACTCCGAATCACTTGTACAGTATGAAGTACTCTCTCAAACCTCACACTTTACAACTCTCACAACCCAATCCCAATTACACAGTAATTACAAGGATTTCCTAAAGAACTCAAGAGACTAAAGGATGGAAGGAACTTCTCTTTTAAACACTTTGAAACTCTATGCTCAGAATACTTAAGATTGTTTTTCCACACTTTCAAAACTTAACGTTGATCTGTTTTTATAAGGAGTTAAACCAAGCTTCCATCAAGTTCCCACTTCCCCCTTAATCCCACGTTCTCTTTGACTGAGAAGTTGGGTTGTAGACAGAGGAAATTTAGGAACATGATTTCCCTAGCTTGACTCCTAAATTCAACGTGCTCCTTAATTTAAGCAGCCAATATTTACCAAGTTAAAAATCAGTTAAAGACTTATTCAAAAGATAATTATTATTTGTTAAAAAAAATAATTATTTATTTATTAATTAAAAGATAAATAATTAATTAATTTAAAACTTATCTTTTTAAATTAATGAATTATTTATTTATTTATAAAAATCTTTTTAAATCTTTTTCAAAACTGATTTTTATCACTTCCTTAAATTAAGGGTTTTGAAAACCGTTTTAAAACTTTCGTTTAAAACTTTCTGAGTCATTCGTCAAGTTCCTTCAGGAACTTCAGGTTCCTTCAGGAACTTCGAGTTTCTTCTTAATTCCTTCCAACACTTTTGTTTCTTAAGTTCGTACACTGAGTAACTAAGAATATAGAGTTGTGAGGACATCTTGAAAGCTTGCATTCATCATCAAGCCTTCCAAACTTTGTTGTTCCTACTCCGGAACATATTACTTCAAACCTGAATCTTCTGTATTAACCAAGACTCATAAACGTTGTTAGTCAAAGTTTGTTTTATGTAAGTCAATCATCAAAATATAAGGTGGTCAATTCAACAATACAAATTTACAATAACTCACAAATTAAATTCTAAATTAATGTGCAATTTGAAGATATAATGCCAAGAATACTAACCTACCCATTTGGAAGCTATAGTCTTTAGTTTGTTTAAAATAATACAAGTTGTGGCATATGCACACTTTAAACATTTGTTGACTACTATTTGCACATGCAAAAACTTGTACTCCGTAATTGATGAGCTTATTGTTCATTGTACTTAAATTATGTTTAATTTTCACCTTTAGCTTGTTTTAGAAAATTATTATTTATTTTGAGAATGTCTCATTTCATTCTATCTTGTCTTTGAATAAAATTTAATCTTATTTCTCTAACTTTTTTTTTTTTTTACTTTTGAATAACTAAATTTCATTATGTTATATTTATTTATTTATTTTTAAATTCACTTCTAATTTAACCGACCATACTCCAAAATCTTGTGTTAGTTTTCATATCCACCTTTTATAATCATTCTAATTAACCCTTTTTTTTTATTATTAAAATTAGATCAAATTCAAACTTGACCAAAGCAAATGTTTATTGTAGAACTTATTACGTACTATAGTGCAACTTCAAACTAGACTAGAAAAATTAGAGGAGACAACTAAAATATTCATATCAGTGCTTAGACTAGACAATCAAAATTTTTACGAATTTTCATACATAAACTCCTTATTTCATGTGAAGAAAATAATTCATTAGGATTGTCAACCACCCATGCAAATAATTTTAATAGTTAGAAATATAAAAGAAAAAAATGCTATTGATTTGAGAGAGAAGTTAATAATTAATTCTTTAAAATTAATATATAATATTACAATTTACTTCGTACTTTATATTGGAAATGTCAGAATTATCTTATGTGAAGCATAAGCTAGTAGGTTTGTAAACGTTTTTAATCACCAACTGATCAATATATAAATAAGTAAGATGGTAAGGACATTGTGTATACAGTGTTTTGTGGTACGACTTAAATTATTACAGTGACATACAATTGGTAACATGTTATAGGTTTGATATGGTTGGCCAATTTAGAAAATATCTATGAATAATCAACTAATAAAAAATGACTTATAGAGTAGTAATTAATCAAATTTCTACACCCTCTATTGTTAGATAAACAATTCAACCAAAAGTTTGAGAGCTTATGATTGATTTTTATACGCTATCACGTCCATATTATTCGGGGCTAAACATATTTCGAAGTAGGAGGCACAGTTTTACATAAGTTATCCTTATTCCTTATTTCATGGACTAGAAGCCAAAAGGAGCGACGAAAAAATGATATGGCGTGGGCAAAAGGTCGGGGAAGTTGCCTAGGCGAGATGGGCTGGCAGTGAAAAGTGGGCCGGGGTGCCGGATGGCCATAAATTGACGACGTTGGACTAATTGTGGTGGCGGTGGTAGAGGGGAAGGTGGAGTTGAGGTGATTGTGTTGTTGGCATGGAGTGTAGCTTAGGGAGAGAACGTATGAACGATTAAAGTGTACCTAGGGTAAATTAATTATTTAGATTATATTAAGGGATAACTTTTTTTTAACAGCGAGATTAACGGTAGCTTTATAATTAGATATGATCAAAATTAGAGTGTCATTTTATAATTTGGCGAAAAACATTTTTCCCAAATAAAATTTGCAAAAATAAGAGATTATCATATAGAATTTCGCAAAAAAAATGTGAGTTATGTGACATTAAAATGATAGAGGAATCTACGACAAACTTTATTAAAGGTGTGAAAGGATACTTAAAATAAAAATACGGGGTACGTTTTATTAGGAGGAAAGGACACTTTTGCTCTGGTAAGGAAAAGATAGCTAACGTAAAGGATTGTGTCATTTCTATGTTTGTCAAAAAATGCGTTAAAGATAACCAGATTCTCTTATACAAATCGGTGATAAGTGATATGGAAAAGACATTTGTTGACGTCCTCAAATTGATTACTTATCATTATTCCAGCTGTTGTTTTCATAAAGTACTTAAAAGTCAGTTGAAAATAAAATATTATTGAAGCTGGAACGCAAGAACTAATTGGACAAACTGGTTGTGAAAGTGCACCAATTAAAATCAAGCAATTTTTTTTTTTACACGATAAGATACAGGGGATGGGAGTGTCTCTCCTAATCTTCTATCAAAGGAGGGGTGGGGTGAGGATCGAATCTATAGGTCACTCTTAGGGGAGATGAAAGGACTAATTGTCCCTTCACTCCTTGATCTTCATGTATTTCCTTTCTTTAGCTCTACTTTTAATGTTTAATCTTGCAAAAAAAAAATATATTAAGGTCACAAGTTCGAGCTTCAAGCCACCAACTACATATGTTTGGGGATTAGGCCTGGGGGGTGGAGGTAAATCCCCCTCTACTTTCAAGCGATAATTTATGTACGGCTAAATTTGTTAGAAGTACTGATTCAATATTAATAGTCCCTATATATTTGCCTTTGAGTTTGATCTGTTAAATTGAATATAATTGATAGAGTACGAAAATATACGAAAGATGGTATCGATTAATCGATTCACATCTTTCTCCAAACCTACTTTAAAAATGTACGACTATATTGAGATACATTTATGAATTAGTATTACTTATGGAAAAAATTTAGTATTATGTTGCATTACTACTCTTTTCACTATGAATATTGAATAGTGAATAGGATTTTGAAATAAAATATGAGGATAAGACTGCTAATGACTAGCAACAGCTATGTTTAGTAAAATCCAAAAAATTTCATGGACTATAATATTTACTCGTACAATTGAAAATCAGATTGTCTGTAAACCAAACGTCAACTTTCACAATGCTTAGTCATTAGCGCATGGACAATTTGTATGGTTGATGAGTTAATGAAATCTTGCAACAAAATTATATTGCTTTGAATTGATAACAAGTTGCATATATGGTGACGAATAGTATATATACAAGCTTGGCGATATTTACTTCATCTTATTCCAACAACTTATGAATTAAAAATAGATAAGATTAAGACCTTATTTAGTGGTAGGATTATTTTAGTAATGGTTAGTATTTTTGGCTAGGCTACAATATTACTGGGAAAAAGTAGGAGTGTTTGAAAATAATATTTAGCTAGACATGGATATGGGTTAGGCTGGCACGAAAACCGGTTAGGCATGAGACTATAATGGTCCAACTTGACACGAGTCTATCATAAGTCCGATAAGATGATCAACAAGACATACAAAGAAGCATGTTGGTGGGTCATGACTATGCATGGACATCATTTCAAATTTGGCATGAACCTGGCCAACATGAGCACAAAGGGGCATGGGTTGGTCGTGCCAATGTCGTCCGCTTATTTTTAACCAAATTAACAAAAATAAACCAATTTTTTAAGGGGCCCACCGGTATAACACATGTGAGCGAGTTGGGTGGGCTCTAATTTTAAAAGACAAGTACGAGTCCAATACAACACGACATGACTAGTTCTTGGCTCGTCTAGGGACAACCTACTTGAATACAAGCCACGTTGACACGACATTACCCGTACCCACCTTTAACAATAATATAACACTTAACCGTAAGTAATAGTCTAATAGAGATAGCGTTTCTCAAACATCAAATATATTATCATACCAAATCCATTGCTACTTTATGCAGAGGCGAAGAATTGTTGTTGGTGAGCGCATGTGTGGTCGTAGCTTCTAAATCGACGGCTACAAGGGGGATGTTTTAAGATCGTTACAGGAAAGCCAGAAAAGGTGAACGTTGTGCTTTCTAACAACTTAACAAGGTGCATATTTTGGTGCCATGTTAAATTCATATTGATGTGAAGTTTGATTTTAACTGTTGTCAATCAGATGCATAAGGAACCTACATATGAAATAAAGTTAACATAAGAACACTTCTCAAAGGCTACTAAAAGGCTATAAGAAGCTAATTAAGAACAATCTTTGTAATACTTTTCTTTTTAAGATAGGGAGTAATTGATACGGAGTATTACGTACATGAGTTTAATTTGAGTTTGTCGAACTATTCCTAATTATTATCATCATATTCTTTCCTCATTTGCTAACATAACATATACTACATATATACTTGCGGTGTAAAAAGTTATGATTAAAATTTAATACATTTCGACTACAAAAATTAGATGATCTAACGTTTGAAGATGTCACAAAAACACATTCAAAAATCTGAAAAAAGAATAAAAAATTACCATCATCTCAGGTTTGCAACCTATTACTTGTAAATGAGAACTAGTAATGCCCATCATATGAATACATAAATATATTTATGCAATTAATAATTTAAAATTTTATTGGGGTTGTAAATTAGCATTACAATATTACATCTTGAATAATCTCAATCCTGTATCTAAATGAAGGGTACGGTTCAGGTTTTCCTCACCAGGCATGCACCAGCAAGTCAGCAACACATCACTCTCTTAGCACGAGTGCACGATTACCACTCTTTGCTACCGTCTAAATTAATATTGTCACTTAATTTGTCCCAAGAATTATAATCCCATTTAGCCAAATTTAGCATTCTATTTCACATAAAATGATGATTTTTTTTTTTTATTTATGGATTATATGTAACCATTATTCCAATATATGGTACAAATTAAAGGTCAAACCAAACTAAGGCCAAGTGTTTCCAGGTATCACGCGACACTTCAATCCCTTATTAGTGGTATTCAACATAACCAAGGGTACGGTTCAGGCCACGTACGCTCATATATTGTACCAGTGTGTCTCGTGCTTAAATGAGTCGTGTCTAAACAAGCTAAGAAATAGTCGTGTTATATTAGGTTTGCGTCGATCTTTCAAAATCGAAAGTTGGGTCTTGTCGTGCCAGCGAATCCTTTTAATATTTTTATATTTTTGTTAAATTGTTCGAAATAAAGGTGCTTGTGAAGTACATGTACAACCCATGGTCCATCAACGTATCTCTCATGTCATGCTGAACCGGTAATAAGCTCGTGTTGGATCAAATCATTTTCGTATTGTACCTAACTGACCTTCGTACTGGTCCAATCCATGTCCGTCTCTAATTCAACGTCTAATTAATCACTCTTAAACAACCTTCTCATTTCCTCGTGTAAATAATTTCCAATCATGTTATAGAATGAAGTACAAACAAATTAAAGAGGATGGCTATTACATCAAAGTAACAAAAAGTTAAACCGACATAATTATATAAGCAAAGAAAATGACAACAACACACTTGACCATTATTTTTTTTACGAGTTTGCTGTACTTTTGATAATATTCACCTTATTTAATTAAAGGTACCTTTTTTTTCATTTAATTTTACTGATGCATAACAAATCTATTAAGTAATACTAAAACAAAACGTTGCTCACATCATGTCTTCTCCAAATTGTGCACATGTTACTCTGACATAAATTTTTTTCCCGCCAATTTACTATGATGATGTCATTAGTTTTTTTTTTTTTTTTACTTATACCTTTTTTTATTTATCTAATAAACCTTTCGTATGCTTTATCCTTTGTCTCTACTCACTCCTTTTTTTTTATTAGTATGTTAATATTTCAATGTTCAAAAGTGTTCATTGTAATTTTTATTTTTTTTTATTTTACAAGTAATATGTTATAGTAGAAATTACTTATCATGTATACAAAAAATTAACAAAGTATAAAACTTTCTTTCTCCGTATTATAAACAAATCTCACAATATGTTTGCTTAAAATCGTGCATCGCACGGAAACTTAAACTAGTTATATGTATAATTATGTATTTATAAATATTAGATTTTAATATAGTAGATATTAAAATAAATTTAACAAGATTTTAGATGACTATATATTTTTCTTTAGATATAAATCACAAAGTGTTATTAAGTTGAATTTGTGAATAATGTACACTACTAAAATGTTGGTAGTACATAAAAAGTTAAAAACAGAGAGTGTACTTACTAAAGATAAACACATCCTCTTATAGTAAAATAGTCCATTTATAACAGATGTTACAAAGTAATGTTAATACATTAATGAAAGACGTCTTAGAATTGACTAGTGATGATTATAACCAAGATTTAATTATAATCCCCAGCTGTAATTATCATAAAAATTTTAATAAAGCTTGAAAATTAATTAGTAAAAAGGAAAGAAGCTGGAATGCAGGAAGTGTAGTGAAATACCAACCAAATTGGGAGTTTATATGCTACTTGGGGAGACAAGATGTGACCCCCAAGTCCCAATTCTTTGTTCTAACTTTTATGGGTTGGCTATGGTTGTGTTAGATGAAGACCTATTTATGGACCAATTAATTAATTAAGGTTTAGATGCAGTAATTAATTTTTGTATTTTATTCATGAACAAGAATTTAAATGGATAAGTTTTACGAGTATATTTAAAATTGTGAATAACGGAAGAAGTAGTTGATAGGTTTTTATTTGAATGTATTTAGTTCATCTATAATTATATATTGTCTGAAATTAGTCAAAATAAGTTAAGTATGTAGCTAACCTAAGGTCCTAATCCGCTCATTTTAACTAAAAGAATTGTTATTTAGTTAAAAATAAGTTTTATTAGATCGATAAATAAAATTTGGATTGATTACGTATATATCAGTTGGACTTATACACCTCATATCAGTGGGGTGTAAATTAAACTCCTTTTTCCGTCAACAAATAGGAGATCTAATTTGTAATATACAGACTAATTGATTAGACTTGTCCAAATAGTGTTAAGTTATCAACTTGTTGTAGTTTAAGAATGGATCGGAGTCCAGACAGTTCATATACATAAGAACTTATACAAAGTGTGAAATTATTGCAATTCTTTCTCCATAAAATTAAATAAAATGATTTTTTTACATTAAAAAAGAACAAAACCTAACTGTATATGACACGTGCCAAATAGCTAACCCATACTAAATCCCATTATTACTTTATCAAAATTCAATTAGGCTCCCTAATTATTTTGGGATCATAACTAAAAGACATCAATACTTGTACCACCTTCCAACATTATACGAGTACCATACATACATGCATGATATATACATCTAAGTAAATATCTAACTATCTACATGAGCTTATTAAGTAATTACTTAAAGTTATTAAAAACCCATAATCAAGCCAACAAAATGCTTAATGTGGCAAATAGTTTGTTAAAAATGTCATAATCAATACAGCCTAAACACACCTACTTTTAATTTAGCCAAAGTTGACAAAAAGAGAAATGAACAAGTTGTAAATAAAATTGATCCCAGGTAATCAAATCCAATAAAAACACGTCTCTTTTATTTTTTTGTGCTTCATTTAAGCATGCACAACAAATTTTCTGCTTTTTCCTCCTATCTTCCCGTGAAACTATTTGTTTCCACTAAAAGTAACCTTTTTTTTTGTTAAATTTTTTACGTCATCTAATTGAGTAGTGTCCATTAATCCTCTTTTTTTTCCCTCTATATATACCAAACTTTGCTCACTCTTTTAAGTGCACTCTTACAAGCAAACTTGTAAAGCTATTAGTTTAATTCATTCAACTTTAATCTTTTATTCATCTTCTTGTTCTTCTTCTTCAACAATACACTCAATCCCTAAATTTTGCATACATTCGATCATATACCTTTGTTCGTTTTGCATATATAACTTCTCAGACGACACCACCACCACCAACATCAACAACAATAGCAACAACAACAACGTAACAACTATGGCGTGTTTGAACGTTTGTCAAAAGGTGTGTACATGATGTTCTTAATTTCTTGATCATATCAACATATGAAAAATTATAGTACTGGTATGGTTTATTAAAAATAATTTCAATTTCGTATTGATGACTATATATGGAATTGAAGTTGATTAGGTTGGCGACGTCGTCTACTACACTTAGGCTTGTGCATGCATTTGGACGAGGTTGCGTCGTCGTCGCTCGCCAACAAATAGAGTGTTCCAAGCCTAATACACCATTCCATGCATGATGATGCCTTCCTCAAATGGATAACCATAAAACAACCTAACTTTTGATTTAAATTTGAGTTGTACTTGGTGACAAATTATGTATGTATTGTATAACCAAAAATAAATAAATAAAAATTATATCTATATATAAATAAATAAAGAGGAAAATAACTAATTTGTACACGCAAATAAATATCTCCACCAACAGCCAACAATGCTACCTCTTGATTCTTCAACTTTACATTTAAATTCAACTTGGAAATTTCCTGTACACAATCAATTCCATCGTAAACTTTTTTTTTTATCTAAATCAATTTCATTATTATCGTGATTTTTTTTTATTAATTATCAATTATCATGAATTACCCATGAATATCTTCTCAATCTTCAAATTTAAATGTGATTTAAAGCTTTGATTTTACTTATAAATAATAATCTTCCTTCCCATTGTTCTTCACATAACAATTTTCCCTATTACTATGTTATTTTAATGAGATTGGTTGCAAATTCCTTTTTTTTTTTTTTTCTTTTCGTATTTTTGTTCTTCAATTATTTTTCCTTTTAAAAAATTTGTTCCCAATTTTTAGTTTTTATCTATGAAAATACATAATTTATACTTCATCCATCCACAAATAATTAAATGTCGTGTATTCTTTTTTATGACATATATTATACCTGTTCTCGTTATAGCAAGTCGTTATTGTTAGATATATATATATATAATACGATGATGAAGTATAGTTAACCTTTTTAATGATGATTTTCAGGATAAAATAATAGACGAAAGTGAAGAAATAGAATATACTCTTGATCGAACCGTTGATCGATATGGTAAACCAGCAATACGTAACAAAACTGGAAGATGGGGGCCTGCTACTTTAATCCTAGGTATATAATTATATTATTATATATCCCTTCATATTCCTTTTTATTTAATGCATCATTTATATTTAGATATATAATTTGTGATTAATATTTTTACTAAGGTTTTTATTGCTTGATTTGGTTAATTACACAGTTAATCAAGGGCTAGCTACGTTAGCATTTTTTGGCGTAGGTGTAAACCTTGTGTTGTTCTTGACAAGAGTGGTAGGACAAAGCAACGCTGATGCTGCAAATAACGTTAGCAAATGGACAGGAACCGTGTATCTTTTCTCACTTTTTGGTGCCTTTCTTAGTGATTCGTACTGGGGTCGTTACAAAACTTGTACTATTTTTCAAGCAATTTTTGTCGTGGTAAGTTTCTAACATCATTTGAATTACTGTAACACTTTAAAAACAATTACTTTATTTTTAAAAGGTGTATTTGATTTATTACTTATGCATATATTTAACTTTGATGTTGTAGGGCTTGGCATTGTTATCACTATCATCATACTTGTTCTTACTTAAGCCTAGAGGTTGTGGAGATGAGCTAACTCCGTGCACCTCTCACTCCGGCTTCCATGTCCCGTTGTTCTACATCTCGTTATACATGGTGGCTCTAGGCAACGGCGGATACCAGCCAAACATCGCGACATTTGGGGCAGATCAATTTGATGTAGAACATCCTAAGGAAAGAGGGTCCAAAATCTCCTTCTTTAGTTTTTTCTACTTGGCTTTCAACTTAGGGTCATTATTTTCCAACACTTTATTGGCCTACTATGAAAATGATGGAAAGTGGGCAATTGGGTTCTTTGCATCAGCTATTACTGCCCTTTTGGCTTTGGCACTTTTTCTTGGTGGTACGCCTCATTATAGGCACTTTAAGTCCTTAGGAAACCCGATTTCGAGGGTTGGCAAAGTAGTTGTTGTTACTTTAAAGAAATGGAAGGTTCGTGTACCGCCTCAAGGGGATGGTTTGTATGAATTGGATGCTAACACTTACGCTAAAAATGGAAGGAAAAAGATCTTACACACCGAAGGACTAACGTAAGTTTTAACACCACATAACTTCATAAAAGTAATTGGACCTATATATATATAACAAGCACATAATTTTTTGAATTAAGTAACTAATCTTGATATGTGTTCATGATATGCCACAGGATCTTGGATAAAGCTGCGGTTATCACCTCATCGTCTTCAAACTACGACGAAAAGAGGTTATGTACCGTTACACAAGTTGAGGAAGTTAAATGCATATTAAGGCTCCTTCCGATATGGGTTTGTACAATCATGTACTCTGTAGTCTTCACTCAAATGGCCTCTCTCTTTGTGGAGCAAGGTGCCGCGATGAAAGTAACCATTGGAAGTCGTGGCTTCCGTATTCCACCAGCTAGCATGTCTGTTTTCGACATTCTTAGTGTTGCGTCTTTCATCTTCATCTATCGTCGTGTTTTAAACCCTATAGTCATTCAAATAAGGAAGAGAGGTCTTACTGAGTTGGAGAGAATGGGCATTGGCCTTATCCTTGCGTTTTTAGCCATGGTAACGGCGGGTGTTGTAGAGGTTTACAGGCTAAAGTACGCGAAAATGGACTGTAATAATGATTGTGACGAGGCTAGTTCTCTAAGCATCTTTTGGCAAATACCCCAATTCATGTTTATTGGTGCATCTGAGGTATTCATGTATGTTGGTCAGCTAGAGTTCTTCAATGGACAAGCACCCAAAGGATTAAAGAGCTTTGGAAGTGCACTATGTATGTTGTCAATGTCGTTCGGGAACTACATGAGTAGTATCATAGTTACCATACTTATGAAGATAACTGCTCGAGGTAGCAATCCAGGGTGGATACCGGAAGACCTAAACAAGGGTCATCTAGAGAGGTTTTACTTCTTGTTGGCAATTCTTACCACAATTGATTTCATGCTGTATTTGTACTTTGCTTCAACATACAAATATGTTCAATGTCAAGATCCACTACAAGGAGAAAATGATGATGATGATGAAGAAAGTGCCAAAATTCAAGTCTAGGGGATCTTTTGATATGGAGTACTATACTATCTAATGAAATGATTTTCTCCGTCAAGATAAATACTTACAAAAAAAAGGTCGTGATGGCTAACATTTAGCGAACTAACAGGGCATGAAATTACCGTCTCTTTGTTGATATTGACAACAGGCCGGGTGATGATTTCGTTCCCTGTTAGTTGGCTACTTTTTAGCCATTGGGCCCACTGCCATCGAGCCACTCTAGATCGAGAAATGATCCTAAAGATGAAGGTGTATTTGTTTGTCAATTAAAACATTGTACAACTATCGTACATGTAGAGTTGTTTTTCTCAACTGACCCGAGTATGAGATTTTGTAAAAGGGCCTTAGTAGATCAACTTGTGTAACATACTTTATGAAATAAAATTGGCTTCCTTAAATTCTTTTGTTATCCCTTTACAATAACTCCTCCAATCTATTAATAGTGCATCATTTTTTGTATTTGGTTAATTAGATTAAATGTCCTTTGGCAATCGATCAGCACCAATTTACAATAAGATAAGATAAAGACAAAAGCTAAGCTTGACCAGAATGCATTTTCTTCTTTGAATAATGTCATTGATATTTCAATCTGGCTATAAGCTCCTCGACTCGACTGTACTGTATGATATACAACTATAAGAGTACGAGTCGCATATACTACCGTGTTTACTCTTTTATCCGTCTGTTTTAGAATTCATATACTATATTTTATATTATAAAACACACTTTTTGTTTCCTACCTTTAAAACTTCAACCATACTTTGTATATATTAAGTTTTGGGTGGATGGACTCGTGATAAAATGAAATCTTCAATAATTTGTGTTTTATAGAGTTATGACTCATGAGCAACCGTCAGTTGTCAATTCTAACTTGGACTTCTTTAATAATTGTAAATTTGTACGAGTAATTGTGAATCTTATTATTTGCTTATCGCTTTACGACTGACAATTGATTTTGTTAGGATTTACAGTGGTTTCAATCAAGGAAACACTTAAAACAATGTGTGGGAACAAATCCTAAAATACGATTACAATATAATTGTAAATATCAAATACAACACAATGTATTTCAATCAAGTATAATCCAAGTCTAAGAGATTACAAAAATTTACAAAGACTATACTAATGTGAAGTTAATCAAACTTGCCTTTCCTCCAAGCCGAGAACAACCAACATGAACATTAGAATCCCGATGTCCCGTAAGACTAGTTCCTTGATACACTGTCAAAGGCGTGTATACACTTTCCTAAAGAGGTTTATTTCCCCCACACGGTACTTGGGTTAAACCGGAAATCCTCTTTGAGATACAATTGACAGTAATTTTGTTCTTAATACTAGAATCGAAATCAAGATGATCAATTCACCAAAATTGGATTAATTGCAAGAGTTTTCTCACAAAATTTTGCAAGAAATTTGAGAGAAAATTGTGGAGAAATACTTTTTGGGAGATGAAGAATAATACTTCTATATATTCTGCTTTTACGAAAATAAGCCTTTTAATAAAAGACTCAACCGTCAGGAAAAACCGCAAAACAGGGTGGTGCGGGCGCTACACCAGGAGGCGCTGGCGCGCCTCAAGGTGGAGCGGGCGCTCCTCACCAAAACTGCGAAATTATTACAAGAAGGCAGTCAGGGGCGCGGTTTATGTGCGACCAGCAGCGCGGGCGCGCCATCTCACCATTTCAATTTGCCAATTTTCAGAGAGGTGCGCGGTTTAGGCGCGCTCTATGCGCGGCCGCGCCTAACTTGCACGGGCGCTCCTTCATGGTCGCGAACGCGCAACTATCAACACTCTAAATATTCAACAGATTTTTCGCACTCCATACATATAAACGACCTTTTTCGTATCCCTTTATTTTTGTGGTTACTTTTACAAAGGCCAGGATACACTGTAAACAACTGTAGACTATATATGTAGAAAATCAAAACTAACAAATAATTCATTCATTTAAAGTGGACAACATATGATTTGGGTATAGTGAACATACATAGTTTTGTAGAACTACATATAATTTCATCAAATCTACAACACTTAGCTTGTAACTTCACAGTAATAGTGAGCTATTTAGCTCCAACTATTTAAAATTTACAAGTAATAATCTACTTACAACTACTGTGGATACTTTTTATCCGGACTTTACCAACCTATTGATAGGCTAATCATAATTCCAAACCAAAAAATTTACTTCAATTTTGGAATTTTATTATTTGCTCGAAAGCAAGATCATGACGACGAGGTCCAAAAATAAATGAGGTCGATGTGCTTTATATGGATCCCACGTGAATCTAAAGGCCAAATTAATTTGGTGCTTGCATCAATCCATTTTGCTTCTGCATGTATACTGCGGCCCTTCGCCCATTGCCACCACAAGCCTTTATGTCACTTAGCTTATTAATTGTCGTAGTATGTGATTCCAATCAACACTACATAACAATTGCGATGCATCTCTTACGTACCTTCACTTTGTCTATAAGCCTTCAAATTAGTCATCCGGATAACATTTTCGAACTTGACAAAGCTAGGCATCAAAGTGCTAGTTTCCAGAGGTTCACAAAAGACCAAGAGGTCTACTTGGTATCAAGACTAGGCCATCTAATTCATACCTTGGTCTTTCACTCTCCGACTCCCCATAACCATGTCTTAAGATATCTTGCCTAGCTTGGCACTGGCGCACTGCCCCTAAGGCAAGTCAACACGTTACCTTTTATTGTCATAAACATAAGTGTTATTTAAAGATGATGTTTTTAAAAGAGGGAAAGGATAATTTAGGATAAGATTACAATCATTACACGCTAGTATAAGTGGTATTACGATAGTAAGACAGTCTTATACTAATATTTCTCCTCATTAAGATGTTGAGAATCTATTATTGGAACGTCAAACTCAAACCCGCCCATTACTATATATATATATATATATATATATATATATATATATAAGCCCATTACTATATTTTTGGAGTATATATGGATTTTTAATATTGGTGTTACACACCTCATTATAATTGTTAATTTTGATTGTCTACAGTTGTTTACAGTAAAATAGTAAATCCTTCGGGAACCAAAAAATAATAGGCCCGAATCCCGAAATATGTCTTATTTAGTTACTCATTTATATTTACATTAAAAAATAGTGAAGGGACTTAAGGAGCCCTAGAGTCCTAGCTAGAATTGACAACTACTAATGGTTGTTCAATGACCTCAACAAAAAAAAAAAAAAAAAAAAAAAAAAAAACCTCTTTAAAATTATAAATAAAGTGTTTAAAGTACCGCAAAAAATTATCATACGAGTAACGTTTAACTCAATTGCACTGTAAAAATATTTTTAATATCAATTAAAGACAAAATCAGTTGTAAAGTTGAGGTTATGTCAATATTGGCCTTTGAGATTATCAAGAGTTGCGATTCGCTATAATAACATCCTTCTCAATTGATTTTCAGCCGACGAGCTGTTATTCTGCGTATCACCTTTATAACTTTGACTACTTCTATCATTTCAGACTTTCAGTAAAATAAGGAGTAGTAATCATCAGAAAACCTCAAAAATATCTCCCCTCTCTTATGATAGTAATATCTATCTCAATAACGGTAATATTAATTGTTTTAGTCATCATAGGTAAATTATAAAAAAAAAAAAAAGCGGTGTTTTTTCAATTTTTACTTAAGGCTATAATTTAAGGGTAATGATACATACAACTTAAAGGATTATAATAAGCATTTAATATTTTTCCTAATTTTATATAGTACAAAGTATTATAGTATAGATGTCATTTTCCAGAATTTAATACGAAGTACATTGCCTAGTACGAGTATTATTAATTTAGGCTAGAATATCACGTTGTTATTAATGCTTATTTCATGCTCAGATTATCATCGCTTTCAATTTTTTTTTTTTTTTTTTTTTTGTGTGTGTGTTTAGAGTAGGTCTGTACAAAACTATATGAGAATCCGATAATTTGTTCCGCAATCGATCCGAATTTTTGGATATCTGATCCAAGTTTCATATTCGATTCGAAAAAGCAGATATCGGATGCGGATTTGGATATTGATTTTCAAAATTTCGGATATTCGGCCGATATCCGAAATATAAAGGCTGAAATAGTGAAATATATATAAATTTTTTAAATTGTTCATATAAAATTGAACCTGTATTATTAACTTATTATAATATTCTTAATATATTTGATGAAAATATTTATTGCAAAAAGACTACTATTTTGTTAATATATATTGTACAACTTAGCGATAAAAAAGCGGTAAAATTAGTAAAATTTAGAAAGTAAACAAAATCAATTTTACTTAATATTGGATAATGGATATCCGAAGCAGATGATATTCAAGTATTCAGATATCCAATCCGTGAACATACCTAGTTTAGAGAGCCACAAGAGAGAATGATGAGAATCGATCCCAGGATCCCCAAGAATCGTAAGGAAAGCTCTAACCACTTGAGCTATCCCTCACTCTTTCGAAACTCTTAGCTTATACATACCGTAACAAGTAACATACACATATAATTAACGTATACAATCATCCTTCATTAGAATAATTATTTGGCTTGGCTTGTTGATCGCAGCTAAAGTATGTTTCTAATAATGTCGATGTTTAAACTGCTTGGAGAGGTGGCAAAAATGTCATTTACTTTAAGTTTTTTATAGGCCATTTTCATGTAGTGAGTCATTTGACTTACTTTATCAAAGAAAAAAAAATACCTAGATCATTTGCAAATTACTAGCTAATTAGTTTTGATAATTAATAATTTTGATCATTAATTTTCAGATAGTGTTGATTTCCATTTACATATTTCTAAATTCTCTATTTTTTCAATATATGGTTCTCTCCGTCTCTACAAGTAATTTTATCACGTAAAGATATAGTTAAAAGTGTCAAAATCCGACATAATCGGAAAATAACCAACTTTAAATTTTAATTTGTATAGACATAATAACAGAGCATGACAAAAATTGAAAATAACGACTCAACCCGATCTGATGACTTAACCGAATCCGACTCAAACACCCGAATCAACAACTCTAGATATGGTGAACAAGTTAAATATTTAATTTACTGGTCGAATTTAGCTCACATGAATCTTGCAAAAATTGGTGAATAGTTAGTTTTAACCTTTTCTTATGTCATCATCAAAACAACCTAGACACCTACTTTAATTATTGCCAAATTGACCTAATAATGAACAACATCTTATAAAAAAAGTTGGTTCAAATTTCTAGGTATTCAAACCAAAGAGATCCACGTTTTTTTATCACTGCACAATGTCTGCTCCTATTAAGCATGCACCACAACAAACTTCAACTATTTTTTCCTATTATCTATTTATTTTATTTTTATTTTTAAATTAATTTTTTACCCACGTCATATAAGTAGCGGTGCATTCAATAATTAATGAATTAATTAATTATTTAATTAACAATTCTAAAAAATAAAAAATAAATAAAAATTAATTAATTAACAACTTTTCTCTATATATATGGGAGGTTTTGTTCACTCTTTCAACTACACTCTCACATAATAACAGCGCAAACAAATTTACAAATTTGTTTTAAAATCTTCCTTTTTCTCTAACACCTTATTTGTAACTTTTCATCAATTTCCTTGCCTGAATAATTCGCAAGTATACATAAATTTGTTTATGTAGTTTCTTAGACGACGACAACAATATCGTAGCGTAACAATGACTTGGTTCAAGATTTTCCAAAAGGTACGGTACATGAGTTTCTTGATTTTTATGCATGATAAAGTTTTTCGTTTGGATTTAAAGCATGCATGTTTATTAATTTGATTTTGTATGGATAAAGTAATTACCTTTCTTGTTTGTTTAATGATCATTCGGAGTTTAAAGGTGCACTTTAATTTGTTTGAACTACTAGCTACTTTTGGACCGATTTTATAAGAAAAGTCGTGGAGTTTTGAAAAAGAGGTAGAACATGTGGCTACATTGAATTATAATTGTAAAAGAAGTTTATAAGTTGCGAGGATGACGTAAATTCTTTCGGTTAAGAATATGTTTTGTGAAGACAATTATCGTCTAATTAGAAATTAAATTTAAAGATAGAAGGAATAAAACCCTAAAAAAAGAGATCACATGACGCTAAGGTTTATTTAAAAAATCAAAAATAAATAAAACCCCTAGGAAAGGAAAAGATAAAAGGAATTGTGACCCGTGATGCCAGTAATTTAAGTATTTGGATATAGATATAATTTTTTGTTGTTTTCTTTTTAACATCGGAAATTTCATAGGATGGTAGAAGGTTATAGACCTTCCACGGAGATAGGACTCTGGAACACAATTCATGGACACCCTTTTTCTCCCTAAATTTCTCCAATTTTATTATGGAGTATCAAAATATCAAGCATTTTACCCTTTTAGCTTATTCTTCTATTTGGCATAAATATGGAAAAAGGACACACCCACAAACATCAACAAATATAGCTAAACTGAACAATTTTTTGTTGTATATCTCTAGCTAGGTTATGTACTTTATGAGTAATGTATCAAATGTTTAGCTAACCTTGTACTTGATGTATGTACGTCAATCAAATTTCAAGAGTGATGGTTGTTTGATGGACATAGAAAGAATTGAACCTAATTGATAGTGGTCTAGAGGTGTCAATTCGAATATTCAGGTTGTTCGGTGAAGTAGGATCAGATTTATTTAAAATAGATTCATGTTAAATTATTGTGTTCAAACAATTCGAAATCTGAATTTGATTTTTTCCCGGATCGAATCGGTATTTAACACTGCCTATCGGTCTCGAACAGAAGTCGCAGATCAACGTCTTTACTCTTTATCCTAACTTGGCAAAAAAACTTCAATAACATTTACCTTTGTTACTTAAAAATTGATTTATTCGAAGTTTTACAATCTTTAAAAATCAAATTAAACGTAAAAATCTCAATTTCTAGATATTTAAATATCGTAAGGTGTTATGACTAACCTTTTTTTTTTATAGGGTGTTATGACTAATTAAATACTCGTAGATCATACGTGAGTACGTGACTACATTATCTATAACATTAATGAATATTCATAATCAAAGTTACTAATTTTGACCCAATAAAAATAGTGTGCAATCTTTTGGGGATTTGAGGGAGTGTATTTATTTGATGAAAGTACCAAAAAAAAAAAAAAAAAAAAAAAAAAAAAGAAAAAAAAAGCAACCAATCCAAAGTACAAGTCCAAATAAATACGGAGTAATCCTAACTACCAACCATATAACTCAGTAGAAGGCTGTAATTTAATGTATGTACCTAATATTTACCTCAAATTCATCAACAAACTTTGTTCCACGTGTACTACTCAAATTGAAAAGAAGAGAATTGTTGGCCACTTGGCTTATACAATTCAACACGTTGCATATTATAAGTGTGTCGTCCTAGACTTGGTAAAAAAATATGATGTATAATAAAGGAGTTGGTTACAATACTCCATAAAACAGAGTCGAACCAAACTTAAAACTAGATACAAATTCAAAACGAATCCAACAACATTTATATGATATGATTTTGATTTTTATAGCGTTATGTATTATAGATAAAGTTATTAAACGTTGATCATCATAATAAATACTCCGTATGTAACCATAGAAAAAAGACGGATGTAGTAACTCGAAAAAGAAAAAAAAGAAAGGAAAAAGAAAAAAGACGGATGTAGTAACTCAAAAGTAATGCTAATCAAAGATATACATTGCATGTGGACATTTAGTGAATCAGTTAAAACTTAAAAGACTAACATCTCGCCAAATTAAAGATTACCCAAATTTGTTAAAAACAATATTTATGTACGAGTACCCTTTTGTATTTTTGATAGGTTTTAAAACAAAATTAAGAAGTTTAATTCTACAATCTTCCTTCGTTCTTAGCCTAGCTAGTAAATTGTCAATTTATAATCTACCTATATTTCAGTGCACAAAGAATATGCAAATAATTTAAATATAGTGGATATGTAATACCTCCGTTCCTAAAAGTTTGACTCACTTTGTATTTGTGCGGTCTCCTATGAACCTCTTTGACCATAAATATCTTCAGCTTAAGTGAAAATTATAAAAAGTTGATATTTAAAATGTTTATAATAAGGGGAATCTAATAAGATCCCTAATGCTAATTTATTTTTATTGTATAAATCATAACATGTGGTCAAAGTTATTTTATTTTGACCACATAAATAGTAATTGAATCGAAATTTCAGGAACGGATGTAGGACATATATAGGCGCATAAATCTGTGTTCCCACGGTTGTTAGATTGTTTTAATTAACCTCTAATATTGCCCGGTTCAATTATTGTATGCCTTATTTTTTTTATCTTCAAATTGATTATAACAAGTTTATTAAGAGTTAAACGGGGTCAATTGACCCTCATTTATTAAGGACGAATTCACTTATCGTAGCATATAGAATAATTTTCCACAATTAATGTCATCACATACGATGTTTCCGTATTTGTAAGTTTATGTCCGTAGACTATAATAACTCGTATTTATGTTGTTTTTGTTTATCAGGAAAAGATAAGAGATGAAAGTGAAACAGTAGAATACACTCTTGATGGAACTGTTGATTTATACGGCAAAGCAGCAGTACGTGCTAAAACTGGAAGATGGACCCTTGGTATCCTAATCTTAGGTATTATTTTTGCCATTGAGTGTTCATTTTCGCGGTCATTTAGGTGTCATATTACTAAGCTAAGATTTTTGAACGTGTGATGATTATAATTACAGTGAATCAAGGGCTTGCTACATTGGCATTTTTCGGCATAGGAGTAAACCTAGTGTTGTTTTTGACAAGAGTGGTAGGACAAAGTAATGCAGATGCAGCAAACAACGTTAGCAAATGGACTGGAACTGTTTATCTATTTTCCCTTCTTGGTGCCTTCCTTAGTGATTCCTATTGGGGTCGATACAAAACATGCACGATTTTTCAAGCAATCTTTGTCCTTGTAAGTTTCTATTGTTATATTGCACAACATACATATTGTAACACATTTAAAGATCCTTTCGTTGTTAGATGATGGTACTCAATTAAGTTCCTTTCGTTGTTAGATGAGATGGTACACAAGTATATACTGATGATGCTTTAAACTTTTATGTTGCAGGGCTTGGCATTATTGTCACTATCATCGTACTTATTTTTACTAAAGCCTAGAGGTTGTGGAGATGAGCTAACTCCATGCAACTCCCACTCTGGCTTCCATGTCGCGTTGTTCTACATCTCATTATACATGGTGGCCCTTGGGAATGGAGGATACCAGCCAAATATCGCGTCATTTGGGGCTGATCAATTTGATGTAGAACATCCTAAGGAAAGACACTCGAAAATCTCCTTCTTTAGTTATTTCTACTTGGCTTTCAACTTAGGATCTCTATTTTCTAACACTTTATTGGCCTACTATGAAGATCATGGAAAGTGGGCACTTGGGTTCTTTGTATCTGCTATTATTGCCCTTATTGCTTTGATACTTTTCCTTGGTGGTACGCCTCGTTATAGACACTACAAGTCTCTAGGAAACCCTGTTTCGAGGTTTGGCAGAGTTCTTGTGGCTTCCTTAAAGAAATGGAAAGTTCCTGTACCGGCGGAAGGGGATGGTTTGTATGAATTGGATGCAAAAACATACGCTAAAAATGGAAGGAAAAAGATAATGCACACCAAAGGATTATCGTAAGTTTTAAACCTTTACTCATTGTTATATATGCAACACCTAGAACAATTAGAGTTTGCCTGTAATCTATTTTTAGCAAATTGAACGTTTATGATTGATTCCTTGTAATGTCACAGGATCTTGGATAAAGCTGCGGTTCCCACCTCATCCAACAACGAAAGGAACTTGTGTACTGTCACTCAAGTCGAAGAAGTTAAATGCATATTAAGGCTTCTCCCAATATGGGTTTGCACTATTATGTACTCTGTAGTCTTCACTCAAATGGCTTCCCTCTTTGTGGAGCAAGGTGCCATGATGAAAGCAACCATCAAAGGTGGCTTCCGCATTCCACCAGCTAGCATGTCTGTTTTCGACATCCTAAGTGTTGCATCCTTTATCTTTATCTTTCGTCGTGTTTTGAACCCTCTTGCCATTCGATTGAGGAGTAGAGGTCTTACTGAACTTCAAAGAATGGGGATTGGCCTCATCTTTGCAATTTTATCTATGGTAGCTGCTGGCACTGTAGAGGTTTACAGGCTGAAATATGCGATAAAGGATTGTCAGGATTGTGGAGAGGCTAGTACTCTAAGCATCTTTTGGCAAATACCTCAATTCATGCTTGTTGGTGCATCCGAGGTTTTCATGTACGTCGGTCAGTTGGAATTCTTCAATGGACAAGCACCCAAAGCATTAAAGAGCTTTGGGAGTGCGCTTTGCATGTTGTCAATGTCGTTCGGGAATTACATGAGTAGCATCATAGTTACTTTACTTATGAAAATAAGTGCAAGAGGTAGCAATCCAGGGTGGATTCCGGAAGATCTAAATAAGGGTCATCTAGATAGGTTTTACTTCTTGTTGGCCATTCTTACCTTAATAGATTTCATGGTGTACTTGTACTTCGCTTCATCATACAAATATGTTCAATGTGAAGAGCCAGGAGAAAGTGATGGTGATGAAGACGGTGTCAAAATTGATGTCTAGGAGAACTTTGATGTTAACAAAAAGTGAAATGACTTTCTTCATCTGAAAACAGAAGAAATGATCAGAAGATTTTAGCACATTTCAGACTGTCATCAAGATGAAGGGAAGCAGCAGAAAGGCATGCAAAATAATGTAGAGTTGGTTTCCTGATCGATGCGTCGTTAGCTTTTGTACATAGGGTCTCTCGTGTTCTGTATGTAATCAATAAATTTGTTGTTAATGTGGACTGAAATATGGTAGGATTGTTGTGTTTAGCATAGTGCAAAATTTAATGCAATGCTTAAATCTAATCAATTCAAAATCTGCTGGCAATAGACAATGTGATTGCTTCCTTATTTTATGCATGATCAATGTCAAGTATTATCAGACATTGCAAACATGGAAAACGCAGTTCCTTGCGTATAGCTCACGATTAGGAAGATCCTTTCATATAGCTCGCAGTTAGGAAGATTGGCGGCAATCTGAGCAGTACCACCCACCCTACCACTTATAGGCAGCCTTGAATTAATACGTAATGTATTGTGTTATGAATTCATTATCGATAAAGATCTTTAATTTCAATTAAATTGCATATTCATATTCATTCACCAGGAACACCATGCACATTAGGCTCTTACGAGCACCATATCATCTTCGACAAAATAACTATTGTCTACCTCAGGCTACAACGTAAACGATTTTTTGAAGAGCACAAATGGCTTAAAAATGAATCAAGCAAAAATTTCATAAATGAATGATATCAATCTGATTATCTAAACAGGTAAATACATCAACTCTTGACACTACTTACAAAGCATCCAGTTCCAGGACTTGTGAGCCTCAATAAAACAACTCACTTGTCCAAAGAGAGAGAGAGAGAGAGAGAGAGAGAGAGAGAGAGAGAGAGAGAGAGAGAGGGGGGAGGAAGCCCAAAGCTTCCAGGGTAAATTTAAGTCGAAAGCTAACAATGCCTCACAATATGCCATCTCAAAGCTAGGCTGAGAGATGGGGGGATCTACATACATGCTCATTACAACATTCAACGGACAAGCAAAACACCTATCTTAAGAAAGGTTCTCACAGTTCACTCACAGGGGCGGGCGGGCAATGAACTACGAGAAAACTAAAGGCAACTGATAAACATTAATTTTGGTAGTGTAGATTTATAAATCTATCAACAGAGGCCGAATAAACACCCATTACTTACTGACGCCAAAATTTACAACAGGCCACATCAATGCTTGCTATTATGGACTTCAACTCTTCGAGTGTTTTCTTTGAAAAGAGACGGCAGTATATTCATGGACATACCAGATATCTTCTGGTTGTCACTTAGCTAGAAATCCATTCCAACAGAGTCTGCAAGGGTCTAACTCAAAATGTCTGATACTCTATCTTGTGCACCAGCAGGAATCTCTCTGCCTGGGACTTCGATTTTTAAAAGATTGGAATACCTGTCAAATAAATTTTATGGTCAGATACTGCAGACTTATCAGGCATCATTAAACTAGTAATAGTAGCAACATATATTTTGATCACACTTACTCCTCTGGTGTAAACAAGTTCTCGTGTTCAGTAATAAAAGCCAGCAGAGCCTGTAATGAGACCCAAAAGTCATCTTCAGGTGATTAGCACATTCAATAAATTGTTTTAAAAGAAAGAGAGGGTGAGGTGAACACCTATAATCACAAAGTTTTTTTTTTTTTTTTTTTTGATGGGTATGAATGTATGATCACAAAGATTATACAATTAAATGCAACTAATGTTAAACCCATAACTATAATGCGCTAAGAGTCTAAGACATTGTGGCAACAATTTCCAGACGGGGGAATAATTGTAATAGCAATAATCAAAGGCAAGCACCTCAAATGGCATATTTAGGAGCTCAAAGTAAGTCCGCACACGGTCCAATCTCAGTTGCACGGCTTCACTGTCAATTGATGGTATAGCTGCTAGTGCCTGCACCAAGAAATTCAGGCTATAAAGGCTTTCAGAGGAATAATAGTACATCAAATTTTTAAAAAGGTCTGTCTTCAAGGGTATTAAAACAGGATATGATCATATCTCAATTAAGCAAAAAGCTAGGAATTGCAATAGCTAGAGAGAAAGCAAAGAAAAAAATTTGATGTTAAGTTTATGGATTGAGGCCAGCTAAAAGATAATGTTAACGAAAAATCCATGTCAAATTAAAATGAAAGTTAAAATTTTGTAAGGTCAAGAAACATGATATTATGATCCCATAAGCACAGAATAAATTAAACACCACATTGTGAATAGTTGGACCTACCTGTTCCAAGGCAATCGAATTTCGGCATATCTGTTGGACTCCAAAAAGATTAATTGATTTCATATCAGCCAAAGCCTGGATAATCAATACACTAATCAGACAGAGAAACCAAGAAATGGATGGCAGGTTCAAGCAAATTAAACAATAATTAGCAATTAGGAAAAGCTGTAATCACCTTGATTGAAGTGTTTGATGTAACGCCACAAATTCCACCAAAAATGTAATTCTGCTTTATCCCCGAGACGAAGGGAGCAATTGCTTCATCTCTGCGTGTTATCTGTTAGGGTATCCAATAAGAAAATGCTGTAGAATTAGGTCAGGACTACATAATCTCATAGTCTAAGCATTTCCACACACACACACACACACCCCTCTTTTTTTTTTTTTTTCCTTATTATTCAGTCCGAGACTCTGACTCTCTGAGCATATATTTCCAGGGAAATCCAACACAATGAAGTACTGGGGGCTAGCAGAAAAGCAATCCAACCTCATAGCATCACCACATGGGATTCTTTCCCTTCCAGTGCCTTGATAAATTAAGTTTTGAACCTTTTAAACAAGACAAACCAATTCCATTGATTTTTACTGAAGAGACCAAATGTAAATCATTTTATAGTACATGATACAAAATGCCAATATGTCACATCATTGCCTATCTTTAGTTTTCTCAAAGGAACAAAAACAACTAACATATTACTTCACGAGAAAATCAGAATTCAAAAAGATATATTGCATCTAAAACAGTAAATTGTCATTGACACAATGAAAAGTAAAATAATTTGTCAAGAGAATAGTGAAAAGACACAAGATTATTATTAATCCACCTCAATCTGCTACCTAAAATACTGTGCATGTAAAATTATAAAACAAGTTTTCTCTAGTAAAAATGTCCAGGAAAAGAATTTTTCAGCCAGAAAGAGATTCAAATTATATGCCTGAAAATGACTTAAGGTGATCCCGCAATAACTTAATAGCAAGACTAGACAGAAACACACCTGAGCAGTGAGGGATATGATAAAGTCATCAGGTTCTTCTGCATCTAAGTCATCCAGATATTCTCTATTAGTCATCTCCTGTTCACAGTTTAAAATTGTCAACAAGGTCAACTACATACAGCATAAACAATTTCATATTTTCATGAGCTTTTAAATCAAACTTAAGATAAGTGAAAATATAAAGTCCTTAAGTTAAATTTATGACATGCCTGCATATGGAAGACTGTTTCCAATTGCATTTCTACACGCAAGACTTTGAGGCAATCAATAGCCAATTTTCTGTAATCATCAGCAAATGATACCAGATCCTTTGAAGGGGAGCTACTAACTTCACTACGACGGGGTGTTCTCTGGTTCTTTCCCTTCTCTTCCACTTGATTACATGCAGTGGAGAATGTTTTTCCAAGTCTGCATAACACGTGATAATTTATTAAGAATATTATTTTTCATGCTGCAACTTCTGACAATGATATCTGGGAACCACCATACGAAAATGACCAACATACACAATTCTCATTAAGCTGTTCTTGAATAAATTATAACCACAATAAAAATGAAAAAAATAATAAAAATAATAAATAAAAAAATAAAAAGATAAACAATTATAAAATGGGAATTTTTAGAGAACCATCTGTTGGAACATGTACATCATATTAAGTACATATATAATGTATATGTACATATTCCAACACAGGCAATACCATCACTTATGACGACATCTTATGAAATTATTACAATCTATAAGAAAATCACGAGAATACAAATGTGAGAGATCTTTCTAGTAATAAGTCTCAGTCTGAAAAAGATCTGCTTACACATTGGTTCCAACTCTTTTGCAAATAGCCATTATAAAACAGTCTATTGCAACTTATTTTTATACAATGCCAGAAAAAAAGGACTTGCCTTTCAATTGAATCTGCAACATACTCCAGTGAATCACTTAAAGAAGCCAGTAGAATAAGTTTATTATCATCACGAATTAGATTTTCCTGCATGAGAAAATTAATAGCAAGGGCAACTTTATCAGCAAATCTTCTAAAGACCTCTCAAAACCTATGCCAACTTCGCAAACAGATCAACAACGAACGAATTCATTCTATTTATTTATTTTTATCTTTTTACTTGAGGCTGGAGCAGTATGAGACAAAATGGGGATAGAAATGGACATAGGTTCATTACAATGCCAAGAACACAACATAGCAAAGTAGCAAACACAGAACAGCTTTTAAATAACACGATACCTGCTTGATTGGTCGCAAGCCAAGTAGCACTTCACTCATTTGTTTTTCGACTTCAATCCCATATGCATCAGAAGGATTATCATTCAGACGATTTTGAAGACATGAACTAGCAGGATCAAGCTTCATCAAGCTTTCAATATCATGCCTTCCAATCAGCATATAACTCTGTTTCTCAAGAACTGCCTGAAACAAAAGCAATAAGATAATAAGATGAGGAATGGTTGCATATATATATATATATATATATATATATATATATATATATATATATATATATATATATATATATATATATATATATATATATATATATATATATATATATAAACTGTTTTGTTGGCATTGTAAAACAATATGACAATTGACAAGAATATAGCAAGAGAAAAACAAGGGTACAAGGTGTTCACCTCCATGTATGAAGTACGACATCTTTCATATGCTCGCTCAAGGAAAGTTTGCACATATTTCACAAATTCCGCAGCAAACTTTGGCATAGCTTGAGCCCAGCCAAGTATCTAGTGGACAACACCATATATCAGAATTTACTTTACATACAATTTTATGAGTGTTTTGATTTTTTAGCTATTAGAACCAGACTAAAGAACGAGCAAGTCAAATGATCCAACCAAGAATAACAAGAACTTACAGTCTGGTTCAGCTTACTGATAGGTCTTCTAAGCCAACCACAACTACAGTTAAGTAGTGGTTTACTGTAGGGTTCATGTTTAAAAGAGCCCCCTTTGAGTTATACTCCCTCTGTCCCTATATAATAGTCCCATTTGCTTGGTTGATTGATGGTGAATTAAAAAAGAAGAAAGTGGGGTTTGGTAGATTGAAGGTAAATAAAAATAAATAAATAGAAGAGTGTGGTTTACTATAGGTGAATAAAAAAATAAGATAGTAGAGTTTCGTTGATTAAGGATGAACAAAAAGAAGATAGTGGAGAAATGAGAGATTGAAATAGGGACAGGATTTTGTAGTGAAATGGGACTTTTATTAAGGGCAAAGGGGGTATCATTATTTCATTATTTTTGAAGAATTTTCTTGGGAATGAAAAGTATTTCATGCCTTCCAAGTTCCAACACATCATCAACAGTATACATATTCTGTAAAGATCTTAGTTCTATAACTTCAAGACACATTAACCTTATATGGCTATTTTCACAGGACAAAGGAATAGCTAGTTAGTCATTGATCAACTATTGATACAAACATTCCTCATTTTTCATAACCATGTGATTTGATTAATGATAGGCCTAGGCCTCACTAGTCAAAAGCATAGAAAAATTGAAGCTAACATTACCTCTTTTGTCAAAAGATCTATAGCCAGAAGTCCCTGCAAGACTGGTCGACCCTTCTCAACAGAGGGTGTATATGAAGCAGCAGCATGTGTCCGAGGACGAAATGCAGCTGGACCTGGAACAGCACTAATACCATAAGGTTTCCATCACCAAAAGTAGCAAATGCAAACCAAGTAGCTTATGAAATGGACAAAGAAAACACATACATCCAAAAATAAAAAAAATATATATTTTAGGCACCCCCCCCCCCTTTTCTTCAATCTTACCCCTCTCACCCCACAATAATTTCACCTTTTCACACTCTTACTTTATTCACCTTTTCTTACACCCACCTTTTTACATTTTCTTACACACTCTCACCTTTTTCTAATTTTCTAAAACCATGTATCTTACAATAACCGAGTAGCACATATAAGAACAGAGGGAGTGTAACAGGGTAATAACAGCTCTCTTTCATTATTTTACACCAAAGATGAGGCTTCGAACTTATCAATGATCATACATAATAAAGATCATATCAGACAATGACAGTCTACACTCATCAATCTTAAATCCTTTTACTCCAAATGCTAATTAAGACATGGAAAAGCATAATAATCTCCATACCTGAACAATTGATTAGTACTTAATATTATCTGAAACTTATCTTACTTATCAATTATCATACATAATACAGATCAGTATCCGACACTAGCAGTCAGAGCACACATTAATCTTGAACCATTTTACTTTAGATGTTTATTAAGACTCAAAAATAGCAGCAACAATCTTCATTACTGAACAATTAAATAGCACGACGAAAAATTTAGAAAAATGCATGAACACAAGTTAAGTGTATATTTTCTAAGAAATTATTTAACAAAGATCACATCACATGAATACAATTACAGAACCATGCCAAAATCAATCTTGACTACTTCACAACCCTCATTTTATCTGGCACATCTAAAAAGCATCCAACATAGAATATTAATATTGCACAATATAACAGATAAAAATAAAACTAATAAAACAAAATAGCATTCACTGCAATGAAGTTTCTATCGCTATCAATCATTTGAGTTACTGTTAAGTCATGGAACTTGCTTGATATAGCCTGCTGTACACTTTTTCGGTAGTCCACAAACATCGTAGGTAAGAAATGTTCCTTCACAAAATTTTCAACAAAAACCAGCAATCCATCATTCCTGCACACAAAGAAAGATCAAGGCAATTATATCGTTAGACAAATAGGGAAGAAAAATGGGAAGAGCAAGAAAATGAAAGAGAGATTTTGGAAATTAAAAGAAAAGATATAGCTATGTAAAATTTGAGTACAGAATAGTAAAAGAAAAAATCTTTTAAGAAAAGACCAAAGATGAAACTTGCACGTTCGCACCCACAAAACACCCTCACTATTTAGCCAGCCCCGTCAAGAGGGGAAGAAAGGGGTGCGAATACTTAGACTTCTCTTGATAGGGAGAGGCAGTTAATAACACAACAAATTGATGTGCATCATTTTCTAGCATCACAACAGTCGAGGAAGAATCAACAAGCATTAAAAATATTAAATGATGTCTCTGATAAAGCAATCAATAAGTCAGCTTACCAGCACCAAATATCAAAGACAAATTGGTCCATACACCATAAAGTCAAGCTGGTCTACCATAAATACTGACACCATTTACATCACCTTCCAAATTACTCACAAATTAGACAACATATTCACTCATATATTACTTGTATAATGGATGATATCAAGGGATCACAATAGCTAAAATCATTTTTATAGCTTCATGCAAGCTAAGGGCTTCACAACATACCCCATTCCCCAGCCATGATCTGCATATACTGTACACGCTTTAAGTACGAGAATTTACTAAAGTATGCAAGGATTTAAGCAAGATAGGGCAGTGTACGAGAAAAAGGATACATGCATCTTTTTTGGTGGAATGAAAACTTTCAACTAATTTTGACCGACTCAAGAGAGATAAAGTCTTGGATGGTAAGCGGATAATAGGATATGTATAATACAATGAGTGATTTTCAATGTTTTCCTATGCTCTAGCTTTAATATATCAGACAAATTTTTAATAAATCAACAGAAAAGAGGTATTTAAGCCTCAAATTATATCGGACCTTCAGGAAACGCTGTTAATCTAAAATCAAATTTAAAAGATTATAGGAAAGTGAAATAACAGAAATTCCTGATGGGTAGGGGGGGGTGCTAGGGCCAATAATATAGCAAAACCTATTCATATCCTAGTGTTTTATTACACGCGTAAATTAAGTATATGATATAAATAAAGAAAAGAAAAGAGGAAAATTAAATCCTTGACATACCCAGATTGGGAATAATTCTCTGGCAACATCGAAGCAACCTTGTCTGTAAACTGCAGAGAAAATTTCATGAGAGAAAATAAAATTAACAGTATGCATTTGTCAACAGACAAAAAAAATACCAATTACCACAAACCTGAAGAACAGGACGATAAACAGCTGCTGCTAAATACATGCCTTCCTCAGGTAAGACAGCTGCAGAACCATATCCCTCTTGTGACATGCCTTGGGCCTTCTTATTCCAGCTTTGGCCTATTAAAATAGTCAATTCCAATGAGAGAAATCTAAGGTAAAAAAAAAATAAAAAAGGGTACAAAATTTCATCAACAAATCAAACTGCAAAAACCATTAAAAAAAAATAGCATTAAATCTATTCCCATTTATTAATAATTCTCACTATGGTAGATAAAATCTGGAAAAAAAATGTCAACTTTTACTAATATAACAAGGTCAAAAGGCTATATAATAACTACATGTGTCAAATTTTAAGATTAACCTTCTGCAGGTAAGGAGTAGCATGCAGAAAGAAGAGAAAAGGTGAGCCTTCTAAAGCACAAGAGAAACGAACAGATACAAAGGAACATAATACTATAAAAGACTAAAATCTATAACCCAACTAAAACATGAAGGAAGTGGACACATACTAAAAAGGATTCCTTGGTAACATTTGAGTTCTGTTAGGGCGTACAACTTAATTGCCAGATTTTGATTTAAGATTTTGAGATCAAAAGTTTGAATGCAAGAATTTGGTTAACTAACTTGAGGTAAATTACTCTAGTTCCTATTAATTGAGAACTAAAACTGACTATAATACCAACAAGCATTTAGGTCCTATTGCTTTCTCCATGCAATATTGACAAACACAAAATTGACTAAATATAACATCACATGGGTTCACAGCAACTCAATTTCTATCCAATTTATTGATATAGAAAAGAAAAATCTAATATTTAGGTCACACCTTGGTTAGGAACGGACAATGTAGCATCAGAGAAGCGAAAAGCAAATGTGAGACCATCATCTGACCCATCCCTGAGAAAAAATAGCATCAATAAGATATTTTTAAACAAATTCTATTTAAAAAAAAAAAAAAAAAAAAAAAAAAAAAAAAAAAAGATACACTGGAAAAAGATGCAGGTTTAAGTGTTAACATGCATTTGTAACATCCATGTACATGCAAATATGCAATGATGCAAGGCACCTAAGCATCCTATCCTAGAGCCATAGACCCCTTGTACAATAGCATACTCAAACTTTAGAAAGGAGGTGAGAAGCTTCTCATAACCATATAGTTGACAGCTCAACATTAACGCAGACTTAAACATATGACGTACAAAAGATAACAATTAAAAATAAATAAATAACTAAATAATAACAATAATAATATAAAAGTAAATAAATTGTCAGGCTTAATCACTCAGACTCTTAAGTTCACTATCGTATTCTTGCCAAAAATTCAAGGCATCAACTTAGATATGAACACTGGAGCAAGAAACACTTCAAATTGAGTAAAAAAACTTATAACGCTTTTATATACTAGCCAAGAACAACTATGACACCCTGTCGCATACATATGGAGGACTAGTAGCCAAATCTGAAAATATACATAGTTGACAAGAAGCAGGTATTTGCAGCCAGCCAACCACATAATTTTTACCTAGTTCAAGTACAAGGTGAACGAGGAAAATAGGATAATTTCCTTCTCTCTCATTAAAGCCAGATATAAACTCTAAGGACTTAAGGAGAAATAATTTTCATATCTGAATTAAACAATCAATCTCTTATGGACCGAGATCATAAATTGTATCAGCACCCTATCCTAAATATTTGGAAAATATATATGCCCTCGGCAGAAAACATCATTGGTATATATATATATATATATAATATATATATAATATATATATATATATATATATATATATATATATATAATATATATATATATATATATATATTGCCCTCGGCAACACTTCATACACGCATAGAAGTAAAGTGCTTGATAAAGTTTGGTAAAAATTGGCTTGCCTCTTTTCTTTTGAAGGAACCTTGCCCGCAAGTCTAGCTGTTTGAACTGCAGCATCAGCTGATGCAGCTTCAGGAGTTGCTCGCAGAATCTCACATATGAGTTGTTGGCATTCACTCTTTTACACAACCAACAAATAAACAATCAGTAATAGTTTAAAAACATTGCTCAAAACTAGGTGAGTCAGCTTCTCTCCCTAAACAGGGGCCTAAATCTTCAAAAAGTACAGAAACATGAAGTTGGATCAATACACACAAAAAGCTCATACCTGTAAAACTGTCAGAGAAAACCCAATAGAGTAGCCACCAGTCACATCAGATTCAGTGTTAAAACTTACATCCACCAAAGACCTGGGTGTATTGATGTCAGCTTGCTGACTGGCTTTTGCTTCAAGAAGCTCTCCAACAATAACATGATTCTCTGAACATTAATGATGAAAATTATGTTTCAGATTCATATATAGATACACTTTTCTATACTCTCTAGTTTTGTTTAAGATTGTAACTTGATTTCTTTGATTACAGTGACCTGGTTCTACATCTTATATTTCTGAAAAGATCTCTTATTTTCCTAAGATGAGAATAAAGGCTGCTATTTTTAGATACAGGCTATTGACAACAAAGAAAGGGTTGTGCCTCACCAAATATTTTAATGATTGCATCAAGAATTGAATTTAGAAGTTCTCTTGCAGCAGCCTGTGCTGTCCCCATAGGCGCCATCACTGGTGTTACAGGGCTAACGGCTAACAAAGTTCCACTGAGTGATACCCCATTTGCACGTTTCTGTTTGGATAACTGGTATGTTTCCAGTTGTCCCTTCAAAGTATGTAGAGTCGAAGAATATGCCGTCAAACCACTTCCAGGCCTGGATGAGCTCATGTTTTCTGCATGAGCTTTTATCTTAGAGGAAATGATCTCATGAATTGTCGATCTCAACCTCTGGCTATCACCATTTTAAGTTGCAATCCCAGAATGAAATGAAAAAACAAGTCAAGAAATTTGAAAAAGCAAAGTTCAAAAGCAACCAGATTATACATGCATTAAATTTCTGATAAAGTTGCAATCAGAACAGCAGCCAAAATCCTCATACAGTGAATATAGTAATTTCAATAAACTCTAGAGTCTAGAGTCTTGCTCACTTACAAAAATCCTTGGGAAAAACAAATATTGTCATGCAGCACAAAGATGTGGAACAAAGGTTATTACAATTTCTAAAAAATAAGGTAATCTTTATAACCATACTACAACAAGGACCAGAAATCCTGTAGAAGAAAACTGAAACTACCACAGCAAGGCAATTACACTGCATATAAAATGAAAATTTCCTAGAAAGAAACATACATAGGAGGCTAAAAACACAGCTCCATCACTATCCAATTCATTAAAGCCTTCATTTCATATCTTACACAGGCTACCATCATTCCTTACCACAAAAAAAATTTCATTCCTTTACATAATCTCCAAAGAATACTAACCACCCCCCCCCCCAAAAAAAAAAAAAAAAAAAAAAAAAAAAGCACCAAAGGAGATTAGAAACACAACCCTCTCCCACAATTTTATTTTATTTTTCCCTAATTAGCAGCTGAATTGAAAAATCATTATTTTCCAGTCAAAACCATGATGATCACCAAATTAATGTAGTGCAGGAGGATGAAACATTTCACCATAATTCCGTATCCTCCAAAATATAACACAACCAGCCGGAGTTGAAATTATATAGATAATTTACATTCACACTAACTTCAATTTATTTAGAAAATGCGCCGCCTCTTCTCTCTCCTCTCACCTCTCTCATCTAGGGTTTTAGTTTTCTTGGCCGTTTAGACCGAAGAACTAGACTATTTCCGACCCTTTTTCTTTAATTTAATTCAGTTCTTTGCTTAGTTTTGTTTTGTTTTGTTCTCTCCATTTTTGAGAATCTGTCCCAATTTCTCGGGTTTTTCCCAATTTTCTGGGATATTGATTCTCGTCTATATATGAGAATTTGATTTTTAGGGTTCTAATAATATTTGGGAAGATGATTTGGATTCATATGGGTTTAGGGTTTGTCGTCAACTCTACGATCAAAACAGTAGCACAGATTGCGAAGGTCTCCACTTGGAGAGATGCGAATACATCAAAAATCACTAATCACTGCTCGCGGTGGAGTGTGAGCTATGCCAAATGTGCAAAATAGTTATGGTTTTGATTGTAAAAGTTATGTTATTTTCTCTAGATTTGTGGTTTACAAATCTCTATTATTATTGTAGATGTCGTATGGCTATTCATTAATAATATTATTTTTCTTCCCGTCAAAAAAAAAAAAAACTTCAATTTATTTAATGTTGTGATCTATCAACTAATCTAGGTGTTTTGGACCAAGTCCAACTGCAGCACATGGAAGGATATTTTTACACTATTTTGACAATTTGATTTCTACATCCTTCCGTGTTACTAGGGTCATTACAATGTTGAAGACCAAAACCAAGCATGTACCTAGCCAGTAAGAGAAGGCTAGTTTCAGAACTTAACATCAATTGACAATACAAACAGCAACAAGTAGGTTTATCCTTATTATATGTGTTACAGTGTATAATTTAGTTTAAACAAAACAAGCCTTACATCAGAAATAATAAGCTTGTCAATGGACTTGCATAAATGACGAATTTTATATGGAAACGGAAAAGGAAAAAAGGTAAGGATAAACCTACCCGTCCTACACATATATTCATATGCAAGTACCCTAAAGTTCCTTCCCCTCTCCTCTCCCCTTAATCCCTATAGTTGGGATTGACTTCATGCCAATACAATTCAGTAACCTTTTCTAGGATATTGGTTTGCTACAAATTTACTACACTGTAGTGCATGGTCTCTGGTAGAGAATCCACTTCTCTTCTTGATACAATTCTTTCAAAAAAATAAAATAAAAATAAAGGCAAAAACAGATTCTGGAAAAACTTAAGTCAAATATATACCATATCATAGCACCAGCAGCAGCAACTTTGCCGAGCTTGCACAAGCATTCTACCATGGTCTGGAGGTACTTCACATGTAGAGGAGCATCACTCTTTTGCACAGCTTCCTGTTATTAAATGCATGATCAAATAATAAACATCATAGACCTGGAAAATATGTCAAAAATTAGATCTTAAAATGGCGTACAAGAAACTCATCAGGTGTAGCAGAAGAAAGCCACGGAGGAAGTTGGCTTGAAAAAAATCCACCCTTTTTAAGGCCATAATCCCCTCCGTTGGCCCTGACATGACCATCAACTTCTTCACCTCTCAATCCACCCTCTTCATCATGCCCATCATAAGAACTACAGAGCATATAGAAACAAAAAAACAGTAACTATAATGCTAATATGAAAGAAGGGAGCGGGGGACATTCCAGGGTACACAAAACTAAGAAGATAAAACATTCTGCTTCCCACATAAAACAAAACATCTAAAGCTACACAGATTCACTGAGACATTATGTTCACTACATAACTAGAGAATGCATTCACTGACTTCAGCAGAAAACGCATGGAAGATTAAAAGTAACAGCTCAGACAGTGTTGGTCGTTGTTTTACCCTCCATCAACTTGGTAATCAGATTTAGATGACCTTGTGCGTCGAGATACAGGTTGTGAAATACTCATAGACAATGAAAGAGTCGCTGACATTATAACTTCATCATCCTTTTCAAGCAGGCTTGAAGAGACTGAGCTGCATAGAACATAAACCTTCATGAAAATTCAATTATGTAAAAATAACCCAGAAGGTAAAAGGTACCAAAATTTATAAGAAAAGATCATTAAAACAAGCAGTAGTACAATTTTACTTGAGAGAATGATAGGAATTGGATAATAAATATATATAACCACAAAGTTGACATAAGCTCGCTAAAAAAATATACTTTGTATAAACTAAAATAGAAGAAACAAGCCCTTTCATTGTAAGGTGTAAGCTTCCAACCAGATAGCAAAATAGCAAGGAGACGAAAAAGTCTATACCTATAATCACCTTTGTTATAAAGGTGGGCATGCAAGTCTTCCAAAATCTTGTAGAAAAGGACTCCACGCAACTTGGTTAACTCAGATTTAACATCTTGGAGAGCGCCAACCTGATCAGAAAATATAATTTATGTCATGTGTGAACCAAATTAAGAACTGATAATAGGACCTAAAAACAAGATGAAATACACTTGAAAAGGAAAGAAAAACAATGGAAAACACAACAAAGAGAAGAAATATAGAAACAACATTACCAAAAGTCCAGAAACACCCAAAACTTAAGGGGAAGAAGATAAAGCACCAAAAATGTATCACCCACATCCCCAAAGAAGATCTGGTCCACTAAGGTTAAGACTTTAGACCAGATTGCCTCTTCCTGGCGTGTAAACTGTAAAAACTAAAAAGAACCCAAGTAGGCTCAAGTGTTGTACTGATGTCCTCATTCAATGATTTTGATGGCAGAAATTGGATTTGTGGAGGGCAGAAGAAGCTTAATAGATGATCTTGATGGCCGTAAAGGTGGTTTGTGATGCTAGATACAGAGGCTTAAAGACTTAAAGTGCAGCATTTTGAATTAGGTCATCATTTTTTAGCAGTTTCAAATAATGCGAGGAGTATACAGGCTTTGGCCCCACGTGGGTAAGGTGGTAGCAGAGCTTTCTGGTCAGTCTATTCCTTGGCTGTAGTGATTGGGCAGCCTAGAAGATGATAAATAGACACTTCCCTGTTTTCAAATAGGTGGTTTTTCATAGTCTCTGTCATACTTAAGAGACTATTGGTTAAAGAAATTTTTACTTTGTGATTTAGTCTATTGCAAAAGGTGAAAAATTATCTTGGTCTCCCTCAGGGCTTTGTGTTCAACTAAGAGCCAGAGATTAACCTAGGAAAGTTGAGTGTAATATAAGAAAATATATGATTCTTATTCTCTCAATAAACTTTCTCTTGCAGCAACCCATAGGCTTCTGCTTACTTATCCTGGTGTTCACCTCACTACCTCAGGTCCTCGAGACAAATTCCTCAAGGGGTCCACTGATACAATTTCTCAGCAAAACTTGAGAAGCGAATAAAAGACTATTCACTGAAGGCTACTCAACAAGTTTGTCTATAATTCTACACTATCCCTCCTCAAAAATTGTTAGAACTTCGAATACAAGAATAAGGTTTATAATTTTCAAGAGAAAAAAAGTTGTCCTAGAAATCCAAGCAATACAAAGCAAGGAAGAAAAAAGATAATAGTATAAAAACAATCCTATCATTAAAAAGAACGTGTCCTTGAAATCCAAGTGATATGAAGCACAAAAGGCATGATATAATTTACAAATAATCCTTATTGAAAAGTCTTACTTATCAAAAATAAAATATCATTGAGAAAGCTCTTAACTTACTGAGCTCAGTATTTCAATGACTGATTCTTGTTTGCATTCACGATTACAAGCCACACGCAAAATAAAGGCACTGGACATTTTCCCTGAATGGATCTAACTGAAAAGACACTATTTTTTTCCACCAAGCCTCACAGAAACTCTATCGTTCCAATTTTGTTACAGCCTCTAGAGAGAGAAGTTTGTAGGTCTCCGCCCTTTCTACTTTCTCCAAACCCTTTTCGTCAAGGAAGCCATCTCCCTTCCTGTTCCTTGACCACTCCAAAACTTGTAACCACCAAAGATGCTAAAGAGATATGAGAGTCAATTTTACTCCAATTTAAATCGTAGGGTACGTAGCACTTTTTCAATTCATTGGACTGTATGCCAACATTTCCAAGGATAGTGGAGGCTCACATATCTCAGTGTCTCACTCTCCTCAGCTCAAGGAACAAATATATCAATTATCACCATCTGTTGATATTGACATCAAATCTAGATGAAGATATTTCATTACTTTGAGAACCATAACTTTTGATATTATAGTGCCAGCAATCTAGATCGGAGGCAGCATTAAAAGTACCAGTGAATGATACAAAAGTTTGGCAACTCATGAAATTGAAATTCGATGCAACCTTCTTTTCTTTATTGAACCTTATCTAATTAAAACAAGACTCTACATTGCAAATATTGCAACCATGAACCTTTTTTTGGGGGGTGGGGGTGGGGGAGGGGGACTAAAAACAAAGGACTGATCAGTTCAGCAAAACTATAAAAGGATTACAAGTGAAAAGAAAGGAGATAAAATTGAAAGGAGCTACCGACCGTTTGGAGACCCTCTCTTTCAAGCATCAATGTAGATTGCACATGCAGTTGGACAGCAGCATAAAACTGCTTCTCAGCGATAAGCTTTTCCATGCGCGCTGGAACCTAGGTTGTGTCAAAAAATCGGAAAATACTTCACCATTCAATAGTAGAGTTCACTTTGTAAAGTGCACACAATGCCCAATTTATAAAGCATCACACAATTGCAAAATGTTTGTTTAATGCCTAAAGAAAAGGTCATGAATATTTAATTGTTCATGTGGACAATCAATCAAGATGGTGGAAAAGGGTATTGCTTTAGTGAGATTGGTCCTTTTAGGTCAACAAACAAACTTTTGAGAAACTAAAAAAGTTTATGGTGCTGGGCCTTGCACTCCAGATTTACATTCAAACGAGCAAGCATATTTTTTAACCAAATCATAAGGAAAGCACCCAATCAATTCTTTATAGATACCCTGTAATATAAAGCATAGTTCAAAAATGCAAGCTAAGACACTAAAATACGTGCACAAAAAAAACTTACACAATACAAACCATACACAAGAAGCATAATCCATCAAAGTTCACCATAAGAATATATGATAGTAAAATGTATAAAACTATCCTAATACCTAAACAATTAAGAAGAAGCTCCAAAAGTATCAAGCAAATAATGTGATCTTAACTGTATATACCTTAGATATTCCCTCAATCTGGTCCAAAAGGGAGATTATATGGCGTAGTGTAACAGAACGGTACCAGAACTGATGCAACTGCTTGTTACGAGCACCCAGGCGTTTCTTTGCCTCAGCCAAATCAACTTTTAAGACAGAAATGCTTTCTTCAGATTCACTAAATAACCGCAAGATCTGATTAAATAAAGATAAATGAAAGAGAGATTATTAAAAATTCTATTGATGATTGTGAACACATTCCAAATGACACTACAAAGAACTGCACTCCTTAATAAATAAGATCCTGAAAAATTGGGTCAGATGACTCAAATCAGTAAGGAAGAAAAACCTAGTATGGCTATCAGAAATCAGTATTTGGCTATCTAACTAAAGCTTTATGCTGTAGAATTTTGTCTTCTATTCTAGATAGTTTGAGGCCAAACCGCCAAAGGCAACCTTGCTCTCTCTAGTTAACAAAGACAATATGCCTTAGATACTAGGGAAGAAGTGCTTCAAATGACAGGACACACTAATTTTCAAAGTGTAGAGTTGGATCTAGGATGATGCACTCATTAGTGCTGTGGTCTACATTAAACTGGTTTTTTAGGCCTCTTATACTATAACTAGTAACCCAGCTTATTCATCAAATCAATATATAGGTTCAATTTTCTACTTTTGTTGATTCAAAATCCTCTTCCTTACAAAAATAAAAGGTAGGGGAAATACTCTTTTTTTTTTTTGACATATAATATGGGCTTCAATTAGATGTTCATACAAACCTGAGAGATTTTTAAATAGTTGGTTCAACCTTGCTTCATCTAGCCATTTTGTATGCACTATGGAAGTACACCCTGATTTCAACATCCATGTATAAACTGACATGAGTTGACACAACAAGTCCTCTGGCCCTTTTTTCACCAGAGCTTGGCATCTGCTAAAATTACCAAGGTAGGGATAATCCTATGGAACTGGACACAAGCCTGTTATTTCTTTTTCTTTGAGTAACAGTGACAGCGGTTGGATCTTTCTAATTGAACTTCCAAGTGGCTCTTAGTAATTCATTAAACAATAAAACAATTTTTAAAGCGAGCCAGAGAAGATGTTTTAACATCCTCTGAGGTTATGAGATACTGCTCTCAAGTAAAAACATACATGCATAGGAAGCATAGCTAACTAGACTTTGACCAGTTACACACATACACCCATTCCCCAAGCCAAATCACCCAAATTGAGAAGGAATAGGAGAGAAAGAAGGGATCACACCAGTAAAATTTTAAATCACTTCATAATGTTGGGAGTCTTGGGACAATCAACAAAAGCTCACTTTAGCTTTGCAAAAAGAGTCTCGGCATGGCAATTGGACATCTTTCCAATTCACAGTCGACTCATGCTGATAATACATCATTGACTTACATATCCAGTATCCACTTTTTAACATTCAATGTCAGATTGTTTCAGAAATTTCAAACTTGAAAGTAATATACGGTACCTGGGAATAATTTTGAATTGCTCTATTGAAGCCACTGTGATAGGCATGTACAACTTCATCAACAACATCCTCGATAACCTCACTCTGCTCCTTCAGAGCTTGTAATTCATCTTTTGCAGTCAACAAGCGGACCACATGAGGCAATGAATCAAATCGTGCTGCAGCCCAGCTTTCATCTATTCGTGCTAAATCCTCTCTTAAATGCTGCAAAACCATTGAACTAAACGTAAATGCACATAACAAATTTGGCATATTAACTCATTGTTACAAAAAATTCCGCCTTCCACGAATCCATGTACATCAGTGAAAGCCATTAAGACAAACTACATTCCAAACTTAGAAGTCTACTAGCTCAAGGAAATTTTTTTTCGTATTACAAACATTTTACTAGAAAGTAATACAAAGTGTGTCAAAGCTTTTCCGATACAAAATACGGACAGTAGCATCATCAGTCATCACATCACATTCACCGAGTAACATAAACATGAACAATAAAAAAACCAACATTCAAAACAAGGGGAAAAAAATCCAGCTCAATAAAATGTTGTATACTTACAGCTTTATCAGATGGGACAGGGAGCCCATCAAAAAGTCCCATCCTGAGCTCGAAATTTCCTCAATTGCAACTGCAAAAACGTCGAAACACCGTGAATTCAGGTACAAAATCATATTCACATCTCCAAACAAAAGCAATCCAACCAAAAAACAAACGCAAATACGAAATACGCATAATTAGAATTATTGATTAACCCCAATAAACTTTCAATTCATCCACTCCCGAAATTAGCGGTGACAAGAAATTCAATTGTATACAAAAATCAAAAAGAAAGAGTTCCAATTCATCATACAACATTCAAAATCATGATTGCTGATAAAAATTGAATCGAATTGAAAGTATAGTCATAAGAAACAGATCAAGATAATTGTTAAATAAATGCAGAAAATGAGATCGAGAAATGTACCTAGAAATCAGCAGCTGGCAAAATTGGAGAGAGAAAGAGTAGATTTTTCTCGTGAAATTATTCAATTGAGGAGAAAATTAGGGTATAGGGAATTGAAGAATTTGATTGAGAGCAAAGAAATTGAGGAATTTGACTATTGATTGAGGAGAAGCTTCATACTGTAAAATGTCGATTTAGTAGTTTTTTTTTTTTTTTTCGTGTTGAATAATATTCACTGTAATTTTATTGGATTGTTTCAACCTGAGGAACACGATTTGTAACAATAATAAACAGAAATTCTAATTCATTAATCCGCAAACTCTTGATAAAATGCAAGCTTATGAATTATGATCTAGATAAACACGACTCAATTGGCAAATTGATGTTAGCGATTTTACCCAATTTTAACAAAAAAAAAAATCAAAAATTACAATTTTAGTCTTTGATAAACCGGGACTCCTTCAAAATCTTGTAAGTTGAATCTGCGACCATTATAAATTTTTCATCCGGTCTTTTTGTTTTATCCAAATGCAGTTGAGTTACGGATTTTTTTGGTATTGATAGAATTCGAGTTGTATATTTTTTTGTTTTCTTTTAAGTGCAACATACCTCCTTCTTGGCATGCACTTTGAGGAAGAGATTAAGCAATGTAAACGGACTAATTAATACACGTAGTACCTAACCCATCTCTAATCATAGTGTTCAAACTATTTTGTTAAATTCGCTTGTTTACTTACTCTACTCAACTCCTAAAAAAACGTGTCAAAAAGAGGTGTTGCATTTAAAAGAAAATAGAGAAAATATTATACATAAATATACAGAGTAATGACTATTAATACGGAGTACTATAAGTTTGCACAATCTGATTCATAAGGTTATTCGTGGGCCAGTTGACTCCTATGCCAAACTAAACAAACAACAACACAAAGTAACATTACTATCAAATTAAGATGTAGTAACTATCATTGTTTTAGGCCAATATAGTAGTGTCTAGGTTAGCAATTAGCCAAGTTTACATTAGTTTGTAAATATGAAGTTGCCATCATTTTTATTTTGACTCATCAATATTTTTTAGATCCACCATTAGGTCATTGAAAACATCCTCACATCCAACTATATAACGTCATTTTAAATAAGTGATGCTATTCACTTTCATAAATTAAAAAATGAACCTTAGTCGAAAATAACAATTTGGTCAAAATCTAGAAGAATCATTAAAATGTTAAAACAAACAGATTGATTTAATGTTTAGGGCGCACTCTAAACAAGTGGTAATTATTCTAATCAACTCTAACGAGGTTAGCTATGTTTCGATTTGGGTTTAGGGATGACATGCTGGAGGTTTAAAAGCAGATATCTTCTTCCCCACATCCGCCTAAAATTTCTATATCCACCACTACCTACCCGCTACTCATGGAGAGTATGATCTAAATCTTCATCAATTCCACCACTTGAGAAGATATCCATTTCCCAGCTATTTTCCGCATATAATCTTCTATTATTTGCCTACTACCCATCTGAACAATTTATTTAGTTACAAAACATACAAGCATGTATATAAATTAGTTGTGATGTTGTGAATACAAAGTGGGGATTGAAGTATTGGATGGACGGGTAGATCCGAGAAAGGTTGAATGGGAATATGGGATATTCAGATTTGAAGCAAATATGATTTCAAATCCACCACCTATCCACTATTTATAACGGATATGACTTTTGATATCCATATCCATTTCCATCATACTCATACCCGCTTCAATCAAATGAATCTGGTATCCAGTGTAAATCCAAGAAAGTATACCCCATCATACTCATACCCGCTTCAATCGGATGGATCCGATGTAAGTCCATGAAAGTATACCCACATATGTAGCTATCACTACTATTTTGGCTCGTAGGACTTGGTACCCATACCACGAAGAAGTGCCAAATCTAATCTGATATATGTATATAAATAAAGTAGACATTTTTGGAGAGCATTCAGAGAGCCACGTAAGAAATATAATTATTTCGACCAATAAGAAAAAATATTTGTATTTCATTTTTGAATTAAAAAATTATATCGCCACCTAGATAAAAGTAATGAATTAGATTTGAAATATCTAAAATTTTAATGTCACGTAGATTATAATCCACGAATTAAATTATTTTAATGAAAAAAATAAAGTAAAAATATAGGAAAAGATAAATTCATTAAATCAATACTACGAGTATATAGGAATCCAAAAAAATATAGAAAAAGATAAATCTCCAAAAAGATATTTAATTGGGTTCAAATTATGAAAATATCCTACTATCCAAAAATTATCTCCACGTAACTGTACTTGGTGGAGAAATATGGTGGGTTCAAATATTAATTTTTTAAAAAATTTATGATATGGTGAAAATTATCTTCACATAACTAAGCTTGGTGGAGAAATATGGTGGTTTCAAATATTAATTTTTTTAATTTATGATATGGTGGAGAAATATGGTAGATTCAAATAGAAAAATACGTAACTATAATATGATAATTTATGAGTACATGTAGATATACATGGAATGAGAATATGACTTCATGATAACCCAATAAAATAAATAAAAAATATTCAAATGATAAACGATTATAATAAAGTTTGATACCTAACAAGATAAATTTTAATAGTATTTATGATAAGAAATAAAAATTGTTCGTTAATTATAATTAAATCAAAATTTGTGATACCTACCATTATAAATTGACACATCGTATGACATAAACAAGATTTCGTATCAATACAAAACCCCATCAAGTGAATTTTGTGTTAGTAATTTTATGTTAGTTTTTGGTCATCAGTGATTGGGTAAATTTCTAAAATCCTATGTTTAAATTTGTATTTGTAATTATTACTTACATTGTGTCGATTTGGGATACTTAACGATTATATGTTTTTGTTTTATTTCCTAAATTTTGTTTTTACATGCAGATCTAACGCATCATACAACACCAACAAAATTTCGTATCAATACAAAACCCCATCAAGCGAATTTTGTGTTATTTTTAGGTCATTAATGTCCGGGTAATTTTTAAAATCCTATGTTTAAATTTATATTTGTAACTATTACTTACATTGTATTTATTTGGGATACTTAACGATTATCTGTTTTTGTTTTGTTTACTGAATTTTGTTTTTACATGCAGATCTAATTTAATTAGAGAATTAAATTCGAGCAAAAATGATTGGAAAATCAAAGTACAAGTTTCTCGCCTATTTGACATACTAAATTTCTATAAACAACATAGCTTAATAGTTTGGATATGGTCCTAATGGAAGAGGAGATTTTTTTAATTTTTTTTTCCTTTAAACTGTTTAATTTACATTTATTATATATTTTTAGTTTTTTTATTAATTAGTTTTATTTAAAGAAATAAAATTTGTAATTTAAGTGGCTGAATTAAGATATTAAAACTTAATTTCTTATTTTTAATTATAGGGTGATTACGTTCATGCCTCAATTAACACAAGCTTTGTTCAACACTTTCATCCAAAATTGATTGAAGAAAAAATTTACTTCTTTAGATACTTTTCAATCATTCCAATCCAATGCCTTGGTTTTTGTCATGATATTGATTTAATAAAAATTCCATGCATGAATAAACACAGGGATGGACTACATTTTAATTGCAATTAGTGGTCTTGATCTCATTGATACAATTCATATCATACTACTTTTGATTAAAGATGTAATGAATGTATATTCTCCACGACATTGTAGACAAAATATAACAATGTGGAAGCTAGCTAGTTGTTGACTAACTTAGTTTAGTTACTAAGAAATTTTATGTTGAGCATTGTCAAGCATATATGGTTGAAATTAATTTGTAAAGTACTCGATTTGATGCAACTATTCAAGTTAATTTTTTTGGCTTTTATACATATATTTAATGCAACTATTTCAAATTATTTTAAAAATTGTAAGAAGAAGCTAAGGCAAATGGCACACGATTTGATGTTGTATACTTATTATATGGATGACTTTCGTTATTATTGGTGATGATGAAAAAATTCCAATGCATAGATTTGATTTTAAACAATTACAATTTTTTTTGATCAATTTCTCATTTATTAGTAAATATATTGATTTACTATATATATATATATATATATATATATATATATATATATATATATATATGTAAAGGTTTAATTTATATCAATTTTATTTTTGCTAACATAAACCATGAATAATTATTTAGGATTTAAATTATTTAAAAAATTAATTTTGTCATTGCATGTGCTTCATATAGTTTATGCTAAACTAGTCGAAGTAAAACCAATGCTCTCAAATTGACTGATCAAAGCCTCAAACAATGGCTAAACTGCTAAGAACTCTCCCTATCTTCACCCTTCGCCCCAATGTCAAACCTTTCTTCTTCTTCCCCACAACTTCTACTCTTATCCCCTTTTCTCTCTCCTCCCTCAAATTCAATCCTCACCCTTCAATTTCTCATAGAACACACTGCAATTGTGCTAATGTATCAGCTACTTTACAAGGTACAGAACAGCAAACCCGGGTACCCGACCCGTTTCAAGCGTCAAAAGATACAAACTTGGAGTGGGTTAATCGGACTGCTTTATGTGGGCATTTGGGTGAGGATGATGTGGGTAAACGGGTCACTCTTTGTGGGTGGGTCGCTCTTCATCGGGTTCATGGTGGAGTCACTTTTGTTAATCTTAGAGATCATTCTGGCATTGTTCAGGTATAATTTATCAAATTGTTAAATTTTGGTTATAATTTGGTAATAATTATGTGATATTATATGATATGTTAATCAGGTTAAATTTTGTTATATATCTATGGGAGTTGTGTTGAATAATTATGTTAGGTAGTGTGAGGAGTGAATCCTATGTAGGAGGATTATGGTGAATTGCTCTACTATGTAACCCACTTGTTTACTGATTAACTTTGTCTTCATAAATCTGAAGTGTGATGGAAGATAGGAAGCTAAGGAAACATCCTTGTGTTATTACTTATTAGTGCTCCTTATTTATCTCTTTTCAAAGAGTTATGCTAGAGTTTTGTTCAGCTTAGGCGCGCCTAGTTGAAAGACAATGTTGGTTGTTTAGGCTCTAGTTTTCACTTTTCAGTATTTCGGCCCGTTGGTGGACTTTTTGCCTATTTGGGTTTATTGGTAGTTCTCTAGAACATTGGTTGTAAGCCTTAGTTAATGTTGTAATAAGATATATACCAAAAAAAAAATGTTGTAATATGATATCGTTAAAGGATCAACTCAACCAAAAGCTTAGGCTAATGGTTTTGGCTTAAGAATATGTTTTATACTCTATCACACCCCCTCACATGAGAGCCGTTGGGCTTAAAATATGGATGCAACATGGGCCCTCCGCATACCCTGTGCAAAATATTCCACTTGAAAGTGAGGGGTGGATGAGATTTGAACCCGGTTGGCTCCGTACCATGTTAAGGACCAACTTAACAAAAAACTTAAG